TTAGAATGATGTTGACACTATGGAACCTGCCTGGACCACTGAGGAATTACGCACATATAAGACACATGAGAATAGAAAAGAAAGTACTATGATTTAATGTTGAAAATAACATTCTGTTTTTTAAAGCGAGAGTGTTTTTTATTATAATTTTGGTATCAGAATCAGTATTGAGTTTCCAGTGTATTCTTTAAGATCAAAATCAAGCTTGGCATTTGAGTACACCAGCATCTCCACGTTTCTTATCTTGACGTGAAGCTTGTGTAAAGTTGAGCCGTAGTTTGGGTTACTTTGTACTCATACTCAGAGCTGCAGTGGAAGTAGTGCAGAGGAATGCGTCTCTGTTAAGCCCATCTTGACTCAGTGGTTTCGCAGCTGCAGTAAAAACATGCACTTCCTGGATCGGCTCAAACAGCTGTTGGCTTCATCTAATTATCCCGAAAGATGAGAAGTCCTCAAACTCCTCACCGTTCAAACGTGCCCAAGCTTGGCCTCATACACTCTCAGAGCCCGCTGGTCCCCACGGGGATGTTACTGCTTTGCCGGACATTTCCACAGTACGGCATTAAACGTGTCTACCTTCACGAGCTGTATCCAGGATGTAACGATATCCAAATCTCTCAGTACGATATTATCACGATATGCATCTCACGGTATCATATTTTTTGCGATATTTTGAAGAGGCTGATATAATTGTAGACACTTTTTTGCTTTTAAAATACCTTGACAAGATTTTGGAATGAATTATTTCCGTCATAATCCCAAGAATTCAAGTAAAAACATATTTCTTCATGTTGTCTGCACTGAAATGAATCATGGGATATGTATTTTCCGACACTTAAATGGATAGTTATGGTGATTCTAATGTCTTTCTTTGTGATTTTAATCTTTCTTAATCTGTAAATTACATTGTGTATGAATTGTGCTATAAATAGGGATACAATGATATCCAAATCTCTCGGTGCGATATTATCACGATATGAATCTCACGGTACGATATTTATTGCGATATTTTGAAGAGGCTGATATAATTGTAGATGGACACTTTTTTGCTTTTAAAATACCTTGATAAGATTTTGGTGTGAATTATTTCCATCATAATCCCAAGAATTCTAGTAAAAAACATAATTCTTCATATTGTCTGCGTTGAAATGAATCATGGGATATGTAGTTTCTGATGTTTATAAGCTGTTGCTACTATAAAACCATGCATTTAAGCAAAGGAACTTGTAATTCACTATACTGTGACAGCCCACGATATTATTGTGAGACTTTTGACGATACGATATCACGATATTTCTGTTATTGTTACATCTCGAGCGTTTACAGTGAGAATGTATTTTCGATCAATGAAAACACATTCATGCTATGGTACAAAATACAGAAAATATGCATGTCATTCAGGGGTCTCCAACTTGCAGCTTGGGAGTTACCAGTAGCTCTCCACCCCCTTCCAAGTAGGTCGCCAAGAGATTTCTGAATTATAAGTATTGGGCTGAATAAGTAAAATTTGATTCATTACCATTGTAAATCTATAATTTTGATGCCCAGTTTTATGCACTAATAAATGGATAATGGTTTATATTTTATACACATCTAGCTGTTCGCCATCTAAAGCTCTAATGCAACTGCTAAAATAAGTAGCTCTTTGGCATTTTTGTTTTGTAAAGGTAGCTCACCAGAGGAAAAAGTTTAGAGACCTCTGATGTAATTAATGTCAAACTGTGAAACATTGAAGCCTCCACAAGAACAGTTATACACATTCACCTTTAACAAAATTACTGTCACCAAAATGTGTTAATAGGATTCTGTTAAAGCTTCACGAAATGTCCAGAAGGATTGATAAAAAAGTTTGAAATATGAACTGACAAACTATACACTGCGACCCAAATTATTATGCAGGTCAGTTTTTTTATAAGTTCTTGATTCAGATATGTTCCACTGAAGAAAAAGTGGTATTAATTCATGCCTGATAGGGCAGTTGATTAACCAAAAGCATAAAATATTTGAAGCATTTACATATTGAGCAAAAATTAGTTAAAATGTTAATATGCTGTGAACCAAATTATTATGCAGGCATATATAAAGGGGAGTATTCTGTGTTCTGTGACCATAAGCACTAAAGATGGGAAAGAAGAAGGATCTCAGTAGTAAGGAGAAGGCTTCTATCGTGAAACTTTTGGGAGAGGGGCGACCAACGATTGAAATAGCAAGATTATTGGACTGTGACCATAGGACAATCAAGGTCTTTGTTTTCAATGGTGAAAAAACAAGAAAAAAACGTGAGGAGGCTCCAAGGAGGAAGCCATCACCTCGAGATTTGTCAGCTTTAAAGAGAGAAATGATCAAACAGCCTTTGAGTTCCAGTGCAAGCATCTTTTCTGCTGTTGGTGTAAGCCACACCCCAAAGAGCTCATGGAATCGTGTTCTGAAAACGCTTGGTAAGGTCCAAAAAGCGAAAACAAGGCCTCCACTTAATCAAAAACACAAGGACAAAAGACTGGCATGGTGTAAGAAGTATATGAAATTGGCTTTTGGGCAAGTTATCTGGACTGATGAGATGCTTGCCACCCTCGATGGTCCGTACGGTTGGGCTAGAGGTTAGATAGCCAAAAGTACCACTGCTCCACCCAGGTTGAGGCGTCAGCAAGGTGGTGGAGGTGTTATGATATGGGCAGGCATCATAAAAAAAGAACTCATTGGCCCTTTCCAGGTTGCAGAAGGAGTGAAAATGGATTCGGCAAATTACTGCAAATTCCTAGGAGAAAATTTCCTTCCGTGGTTGAAGAAGAAACCAGTTGCGCAGCACAAGAAAATAATGTTCATGCTCCAAGTCATGCATCCAAGTTTACTGCTGACTGGCTGGCATCAAAGGGTTACCTACAGGACAAGATAATGGACTGGCCAGCATCCTCACCCGATTTAAACTGTATAGAAAATCTGTGGTTGATCCTGAAAAGAAGGGTTTTTGAAAATGGAAAACACTTCCCATCAAAGGATAAGTTGTGGGAAGCTATTGTAAAGGCTGCAAAAAGCATTAAACCTGCTGAAATTGAAAACTTGACATCTTCAATGGACAACAGGCTCCTTACTCTGATGCAGAAGAAAGGTGGCTACATCTCCAAGTAAAGAATCATCCAGATATGCTTATTATTTGACAATTTGTGCTCAGCACAGTCTATCTGACAATATAAAATATGTTTGTTAATAAAACAAGATGTTTTATTTTCATATACTGGATGTTTTACTTTGAAATAAAGATTTGCATAATAATTTGGTTCACCTGAAATTTGAATTGTTATTATATTTTCCATCTAATGTTATTTATGTGGAACATTGTTATGGATACATTTGTAGAACCAGTACAGCAATGTATCCCCAATAGTTTCTGCAAAGTAATTAAAAACCTAACTTGCATAATAATTTGGGTCGCAGTGTAGACTGTAAATATATGGACCGCGAACCCACAAGCTGCCGCATTCCAAATAGGAAGACAGCATGGGTGCGATTCAGCTCCATCGACTCTGGTTACAATTGACTTTCTGTTGAAAAACTGTCACCCCTCTGTCTCTGTAAAGAAGTCCGCCGCCTATTACGACATGCCTCTTCCAGATTTTGACACTTTTTGGCATCGCTATTCTGACACGTCCTATGTGTGTTTTGAGCTATGAGAGTATCATCTCATTGAGCTGTTGCAATGAATTTGATTAGTTATTTATTTACGCTATATGTTGTTCTCTGCAGATCGCCTACATGACAAAATGAATGAAGCACAAAGGGCCCATTCAGCCTCCATTTAAGATTAGATATTATCCCAAAGGCTGGCCTATGCTCTTTTTTAAAATGCATGACTGTTTCCCACGGCCATCAGTTAGGACATTTTCCCACTGTCTGATATCCTACGTGTAAGTACTCTTTGTTTCACTACTCTGACAATTAGACGTCAGTGTCGGAATAGAAGCATGTAACCATCTTTAATTGCTGCAGTCAGCCTCGTCATGTTTTAAAATGTATTTATTTGTTTATTTATTTCATTCATAAAGTATAAAAAGACCAGCCTGATTCATCAGCTGGTTTCACTTCACAGAAACCATCTGACCTCACAGTGTTAGAGTTCGTTCGCTCGACAGAAGGCGGGTACTTTCTTAATTTAACCAATTGCTGCTATTTGGTCGTGACGTATGTAATGCAGCGCTAACGGGGCTAACTGGTATATTAAGCCTTTCCCAAATCCCGTAGGAAGATGAAATTCACCAAACATTCTCTTTGTTCTGGCTTTAAATCCTCGATCTCAGGAATTGCTGCCAACACAGAATGTATGACTCTTTGCTGATTGGCTGGTGCCTGAACTCGCACTTCCAGGGTTTTTGCAAACCGCCGATTATATTTTAATTCCTGACCGAGTCGATGGAGAGAAATTAAATTGAGCGGAGGCACTAGGTGGTGCCAGCCTGGCTATAAAAAGACATCAACAGTGTCACAACATCAAACATACAAGAAATGATGGAAAGACTAAAATTGGACTTGAAGCACTTTGGAAACTGTCTTGTTTATAAAATGTGCTATACGAAATAAAGTTGGATTGGATTGGATCTTGGGAATTTTTATTACACTATTTAGTCTGTCAATCAAGATCTGAACATTAGTAACAGACCAATGAACATCCCTTCGAGGTGTTGGCAACCATTCTGATTGACAGCGTTGCTACGGGAGGAGGCGTTACCTTCAACCACCTTCTTCACACTCACTTATTCCACTTCTTTATACAGTTTATGAGGCAAACTAATAAAGTAGTCAAATGTATTTCAGAATGTGTTTGTACATATTCAAACTACAGGGTTAGCAGTTTTTATGCAGAATAAGTGATAGACATTTTGTTGTTTGTTGACATTATGGTACTGTCTTTGTGGTTTGCAAATTGTGTGTATTTAAATTGCTATTTCGATTCAATTATGATTAATCTTGCAGACTTTCTAATTTATATATATATTATTCTTTTTCAGTCTTTTGATGGCAGAGCCTCTCTCCGCTCCGGTAATCTGAGTGCTCTGAAGAAACGCTGGGAGCAGGGAGGGACCACCAAGCCCAAACCCATCCCCGAAAACCTACCAGCACCCAGGGCCCTCAAGCTACCAGCACCCAAGACCTCCGATCAACAAGCACCCAAGCCCCCCAATCTGCCTGCGCCCAAGCCCCCCAATCTGCCTGCGCCCAAGCCCCCCAATCTGCCTGCGCCCAAGACCCCCGATTTGCCTGCGCCCAAGACCCCCAATCTGCCTGCGCCCAAGACCCCCGATTTGCCTGTGCCCAAGACCCCCAATTTACCCGTGCCCAAGACCCCTGATCTACCTGCGCCCAAGACACCCGATCTACCGTCACACAAGTCCCAGGAACCCCTCAGTCTGAAGGAGGAGCACCCAAGGGCCCCCGCCACCCGACAGACCTCCACCTCAGCTGAGCCCAGACCAAACAAAACCGAGGAGCACAAACCAGAGGTAAGAACGTCAGGAGAAGTTTTAAATGTCCTATATTACCCAAAATGTTAGAATGTTGTTACCTCGTCAAAAACAGACCTGGAGTTGTGTTTTGTTTCATTCTCACATTTGAGTAACACTTTATTATTAATTTGTCTAAATCCCCAAAGCTCCAAATGCTCTGTTCCAGCTTGTGATGTCATGAGCTGGTAGTTTTCAAGTTAACAGTTACCATTTAAGTTTAGTTTAGTTGAGATGAGCAATACCAGGGCTTAAATTATCCAAATGATTCAAGTGAAGTGTATGGAGTTTAAAAACACAGAGGAGCAAGGTGGAATAGAGTGTTTTCCATTAGAGAGAAGAACTCAGCCTAAATGTGCAGGGTTTGTGTGTTGACATGTGTGAATGAAACAAAACACAACTCCAGACCTGTTTGTGATGAGGAAACATTATAACACAGATCAGACATTCAAATACATTCATTATTCTAAACAGTTTGCAGTGGCCCAAAGTTCTTCCTCACTCACCTTACGTATTCAGAGCATCCTAATTATTCACCACGATGAGTTTGAAAGCGGACAACAACTAGCAAGCTAAGCACGCATTCCTGATTCTCAGAGGATAAAAGCTTTATAATTAGATGCAGACAGTACACAGCACTCTTATTTCTTTGTTTTATTTCATTTGCAACATACAACAAGCACACAGACATTAGACAAGACAATACACTAAGTATAATGTGGAACAATACAGTACAAATGCATACAGCACCACAGCAGTCGAGGTGTAATGTGTGGGTGTGTGTGTATGTGTAAGAGTGTGTATGTATGAGCAAGAGTGTGAGGTTTCAGCGTCAGTAAATACAAATGACTAATTCTGTACAGTAATACATAGATTGGTGCAGTTACGGTCAAACTAAATTTAAGAAGTTGCATAATAATGACGCACTTCTTAGTCTGATGAAAGTCCCTCGATGGACAAGTGCCTGTTTGCTGTTTGTACAGAATAATGTCCCTTCATTGAATGCTGTGATGAGAAACGTTGTATACAAATGTATGAAGCACCTGGAGGACTCACAGAATGACATTTGAAATGCCTGAGCAGAGCAGTGTCAGGTTTACTTCTGAACTCTGGAGGTACTTACCCTTTTTTTTTTGGACTATAAATCGCTCCGGAGTATAAGTCGCACTTTTTGGGCAAATGTATTTTATAAAATCACAGAACAAGAACCGACATTTCATCTTGAAAGGCAAATTATAGTAATAACAACAGAACAGAGAACAACAGACTGAACAGGCATTAAGATGTTAACGTCACATATTAACAGTTATTCAGACAATTAAAGGAATAACAACAGAACATAAGTTTACTAAACTCACGATCTCACTCCAAATCACTAAATCCACTGAATTCTTCCTCGGTGTCACATCTGTGTGACCTCTGGAGATAAACTATAGATCCATCATGTAAACGGGGCACCGCTTCCTCTTCTCCGTCGCTGTCATCAGACTTAGCATCAGTTCCAGTTTGAATTATTCTGGCCTTTCTGAATCCCGACAGGATGGTTTCGGTTTGTCATTGAAGTTTAGGCTTTGCCCATCCATCCAGTGACTTCCAGGGTGCACCCTCCTGGTTACCGTGAAGTTGTGTTCTCCATCCCCGCTTTTCGTCAGTGCCTCACAAGTTTCTCGCTCACTCCAAACTTTCTTTCTGCTGCTCGATTACCGTTTTCAGCTGCAGATTTCACTATTTGCAGCAGAACAATGGCTTTTTCTACAGGAGGCACGCGCAGTAGAATGCGAAGTGACAGTGGTACAGGAATAATAGATACTAACATACACACGACGCAGGACCACCCAAACCATGAAAAAAAGCGCAAATTATAGTCCATAAAATATGGTATATAGACTATAGAATGTCATTACAGTTTTGTCTATCTTCTGCCTGTTTTTAAAATGTTCTATATGGGCCCATTGAAGTCTTAAATAAAGCTTGATTGATTGATTCTAACAGTATATTAAAGGGATCGACTCAACCTTGAGAATAACGGCAACTACAGAAATGATAACAGTACCTATGCCAGTCTGTACAGCTACAAGTGGGCAGAGGAAGAGGATGTGGAACTACTTATGTTTGTTAATGAGATGACAGCAGTCTCATTTCTGCCTCAAGAGCTGCTTATGCAATATATCTGTACTGCGGCAAGCCTGATTTTACTCAAATTCATGAAAAAAAAAAAGAAAAGGTACAGCCACTTTTATTTTTATAACATACAAAATATACGATCAATAGGGTTCCCATTATGTAAGTTTTGTCTAGGGCTGCAAATGTTTGTTTGAAAATATGTGATTTCAATTAGGCATCAGATTTATACAAAGAAGATCTCAGGTCACAGTGCACATTAAAAACTACCCCAAAAGCATTCACATTTGAAAGAAGACTGATATATGAACTGCTAGACTAGTACAAGAATTGCAGGCATTTCAGAACATGTTTTTAGAGGTCTCAACTACAGGTTTAAGATGGGGGTTATTTTAGGGCTGGGTATCATTAAGAAGTTGCCGATACGATACATACCTCGATACATAGGCCACAATACGATACATAGCTCGATACAGTGCACTTTCGATTCAATACAATATATTTCAAATCAATTCAATACAGTTCTCTAAATCATGGCTGTGATACTAATAGTCTTTGTTAAACCACTTCTTGTGCAAAGTTCATTTGAAACACAAACATTTTAATCCTCAAAACAGTGAAAATGACAAATTTCTTGCATAAACGAGTTTCCTTCCTTTGAAAAAGCAACAAAACTGTAGAACTGTAACAAAATAATGTAGTAAAATATACCAAAAACTACTCTTGACAATATATCGATACAGCAACCCATGATATCGATACTGTATCATCACATTAAATGATATGGTATATTGATATTTCAATATTTTTGCACACCCCTATTTTATTTATTTATTTATTTATCTTGCGAGGGGGTCCTAAATACATTAACATAAATACCATTTATACAGAATAAGATTGAATAGTGAGTATATTTTTTTAATTGTGGAAGACCTTCTACTGCCTAAATAATTTAACTGTATTTTATTGTGCAGCCTCTACAAACATGTGCAGCTTGATCACATTCAATGTCAATAACCATCACTCAAGGAACAGAAAGTATGTTGTGATTGGAAAAAGGGGTCCAGTTTGTGAAAGGAAAAAAAGAAGGAAGTATATTGAAAGAACTAAATGTAACTCGGTGTTCTAAACATTTGTCAGAAGCTGTCGATGGAGCGGACGAAGAGGACCATCAGCGAGGACAGGTCCGAGGATCAGGTCCCCACGAGCCCCTGCGCCGCCTACGAGAAACCCCGAGTGCCCCTCACCAACCTCAAGATGAAGTTTGAGAGAGGGGAGGAGGCGAGCACCAAGGTACTCACTTCAATACTCCACAGAGAATAAAAAACGTAGTCATGGGTTAAATGAGAATGGAGAACTAGAACGATTTAGAGGGGAACAGGTTTCACATCTGCCATCTACTGGTAAAAAAATCAAATAAACTTACAGACGGCCGCTTTAAGTCTTGGTATATAGCAGTGTAATTCTTTTGAGGTGTTATATCTCAGTATTTATTTATCTGAAGGGCCCATATTATGCTAATGATCCATGTTATAATGTTGTTTCCTTGGATTTGTGTTTTGTTCCATTCACCCTGCATATTTAGGTGGAGAACTTCTCTCAAATGGAACTGTTCCACCTTGTGATGTCATGTGGCAATACAGGAAGTGCCCCATTGTGTTTTCAAACTCCACACCTTCACTTGAATCATTTGGATGATGTCAGCCCTGAAGTTGCCAATCTGTACTGAAGTAAAGGGAAAAGGAGCTGGTCACTGGAAAACTGCCACTTCATGACATCACAAGGTGGAACACATCATTTTGAGCTTTGGAGATGTGAACAGAGATATAAAGGGTTACTCAAACATGTGTGAATGAAACAAATCACAACTCAACAAGGTCTGTTTTAAAGAGGCAACAACATTCTTACATGATTAAAGCTCACAAGAGTACATTTTGCATAATATAAGACCTCTAAAAGATTTTCTTGTCCCCAAACTTGAATGGCTGAGCAAGGACTTCAAGCAGAGGCGGCACTAACATTAAGCAAAAATAGGTGGCTTCTTAGGGCCCCCAAGCCTGGATGGGGCCCCCACCAATGGCCAAAGCCTCAGAGCAATTTGATTTTCTCTCAATATGACATTAAATGAGAGTAGTTTACTGTGAAACATTAATAAAATAAGATAATCCCTGACGTTATGTGCAGTTTTAATTATTGCACATTCTCTAATAAGGAAAAAATAATAATCATATCTAATGGATGTAAACAAAAATGTAATTGTAGTAGCACAAATATAAAACTACTTTCCGTCCTGGTTATCTAGTAGGCTACCGAACTAATAAAACAAGTTTCCAATCCACCATAATTCAAATAAATAGAGATGTGCGTGTCTCAAAAATAATGGGGGAAAACGCACAATAAATATATTAAACAAAACAAAAAAAAACAAAAAATTGCGGTTTATTGAGGGCCCCAAACTCAAGTTCCCCTAGGGTCTCCAACTTGTTAACTCCGCCACTGACTCCCAACTTTGTATTTTGTGAAATGATTCTCTAATTTGTTAATTGTGTAATATGCCATATTAAATTGTAATTGAGTTTATAGAGAGTCTGGGCAGTACAATGAATCTAATTTTTGTTTCTGTGTTTTTAATGTGAAGTCTACAGCCAATTCTCTGTCAATAAAAAGTTTGAAGCAGAATTCAAATTCGACTTTTGAAGACTATTGGCTAAAGGCAATAAATAAAAGTGCAAAACTTTGGGAGGCAGGAGTGCTACTTGGATATAAAAAATTGTGCAGAATTGTCCTTTCTGTGATCTTCAGTGTAGGGACCAGTCTCAAATACAAAGTTGAAAAAACGGAGGCACTCAAAAAGTACAAAATGATGAAAAGCCTTTAATACCACATGGCAGATGAAGTTCAAATCACGCCAACGCATTAAATGTCTGTTTGGTTTGTTGTGTTTCATGGAATTATAATGAAAGCTTTGTTATAAGTTTTTAAAAAGACAAAATAAGATAAAAAGAGGCTTGATTGTTTTGTTTATTGCCCTGCCCTAGTTTGAAATATTATATGTAGAATAATCCCTACATTAAAGAAGTTTGGTTTAAAGGTCCTATATTACGTAAAATGACTCTTGTGAGCTGTAAGCCATATTATAATGCTTTTATCTTCTCAAAAACATACTAAAAGTTCTGTATTTGTTTGATTCACACATGTTTGAGTAACTCTTTATTATTAGTCTGTTTAGATCTCCAAAGCTCAGAATGTTCTCTTCCACCTTGTGATATCATGTAGTTGTAGTTTTCAAGTTAACAGCCACCTTTTACCTTTAGTTCAGTAGAGTTGGCAGTTCCAGGGTTGAAATTATCCAAATGATTCTAATGAAGGTGTGTGGTTTGAGAGAAAAACTCAGCCTGACGTGTGATTGAAACGAAACACAACTCCAGGTCTGTTTGTGATGAGGAAACATTAGGACATAGATTAAAAATAGCGTAATACTGGCTCATAATCAATGTTTTACACAGAGAGATGCATTTTGCAATTCAGAGTAAACATAGTTTTTTTTTTTTTTTTTAAAACATGCAGGGCTGGCTCACTTCTGTCTGAATTCCTCCAGTAATCTCTCTCACATTACCTGAAACTCAACACTTTAGACCAGCACTTATACATATTTTGCATAATTTCCGGTGTCTGCTCTTTTCACCTTCACAACAGAGGAATGCAGGGACACGTTTTTCACACTTTTTTTCCCCTCTAGTCTGCGCTTGGGCTGTCACAAGTATCAAAAATCAGATACTAATCTCCAAGAAAAAACTGTTGAAACTAGATACTAAGAAGTCCCATTCAGGACATAAATGAAGCTTTCCTGAATAGATTAAGAATGATGTTGAGCTGTATCAGGACAAGTATAAGAGCACACAGACTAGTATACACGCCCATGGACCACTATGGAACCTACTGGACCACTGAGGGATTACACAAATATAAGACACATGGGAATAGAAAAGAGTAATATGATTTAAAGGGACATTCCAGAATTTTGGACATAGGGCCTCATTTCCTAGTGAGCCAGAGTGTTAAAGATGTATGGAGACACTTTTTGAAATATTCCACCCAATCCTTGTATTTGCAGAGGTCGCTGGTGCTAGGCTAGTGCATGTCAATGGCTATAGTTAGTCTATCACTAAAAACAATCTTACCCACTCCACAAAACACCCGAAGTAAATCTATTATTATACCAGACTGTCCATGTGAATGTCTGTGTTGATAGAATAATGTTTGAAATAAAAATAACCCTCCATCGCATGAATTGTCGCATGTTGAGGGACTATTTTCTCATATATCAGTCCACCGCTGCCAAGCTTTTTATCAGGAAGTACAACTCGCTGCTGCTCAGACTTAAATCCTTCAAATGCAAAGTTGGATTTACTTCTGAAATTATTCTATCAACACAGACATTTACATGGACAGTCTGGTGTAATAATAGATTTGTTTTGGGTGTTTTGTGGAGTGTGTAAGACTGTTTTAGTGGCAGGATAACTATGGCCATTGACATACACTAGTCTAGCACCAGCGACCTCTGCAAATACAAGGACTGGATGGAATATTTTAAAAAGTGTCTCCACACATCTACAACAATCTGGCTCACTAGAAAATGAAGCCCTATGTCCAAAATTCCGAACTGTCCTTTTAACAGTGAAAATCACATTCTAATGTCTAAAGAAAGAGTATTTTTTTAAATTATCATCGTGGTATGGAGTCAGTTTTGAGTAGCGAGTCTATTCCTTGGTATCAAGTTTGAAATGTTATCAGCATAATGACAACACTAGTCTGTGCTTTTTTTTTTTTACCCTGGTGTCACTTATAGACATTTGAGAAAGTACAAGCCTGAACAGGACTCCATACATTTGAATATTCACATATTCTGTACTTTCCCACAGTGTATGGATAATATGGATTCCAGCTCCGTTTGAACATAAACTTTTTACCATACATAGATGCAGTCAGGATGAGTCTGTACTGTCCATTAGACCCACCTCACGATGTCCAACCAATGTAAAGCTATCAATCATTTATGTTTGTATGGGTAGATGTAGTGGACCAAACAGAAAGACAAAGACACAGTGTAAAAATAATTTTAAATTGAATAAAGTCAAAATTATGTCATTTAGCAAAGGCTAAAATTAGGTAAATCATGAACAAAAAGCTGGGCCCAACTGGAGGAACTTAAATCAAACTGAGAAGAACAAAACTAATCCAACCAGACAAAGAACACGGGGTGTAAATACCTGAGGACCAACTAAAACTGAACACAAGAGGGGAGAATTACAGTAAATAATTAACTAAAACTACTAACTTAATCAAAGTAACAAAAAGGCAAATAAGTATAATACAGAAAAAAAAATAATAAAAAAAAATACAGAAACTTGTTTGATGTGGATGGTCTCCACCAAAGGTCCTCTGTCTGACCACTTGAAATAGAACAAAAAAAATTAAGTGTAAGTAAACAATTCAGACTTATATTAACTAAAATGTGTGCACCCAAATTTGAATATAAGTCTAAATAAAGGAATTAAATTAAACTATATGTGGTGTAATTAACTTAATGAAAATTAAATGAAAATTTAATGAAATTATATGAAATCATACTAACATTGTGGAATAGTGGCAGAGTCATCCATCACAGTAGAAGTCTATGGAACTGTTATTGCTTTGCCTGGAATGTTCCACACTATGGCATTAAACTTACATTCACATGGAGAGTCTGGTGTAATAATAGATTTTCTTCGAGTGTTTTGTGGAGTGGATAAGACTGTTTTTAGTGGCAGGATAACTATGGCCATTGACATGCACTAGTCTAACACCAGCGACCTCTGTAAATACAAGGACTGGATGGAATATTTCAAAAAGTGTCTCCACACGTCTCCAACACTCTGATTCACTAGGAAATAAGACCCTATGTCCAAAATCCCAAACTGTCCCTTTAAATGATAAGCATCCCTGTTATGTCAGCCCAGTGAAAAAGTGTATACATCCACTGATTGCAAAGATATACGTCTAACTGGGATTGGGAACTGATGAAATCTCACTCGAAGCTTTGGTGAAAAGTTGACAGCCCTGATTAACAGAAATCAAACACAAATCCTTGAGAAATGCTCCTGTTTGGTAAAAGTAGTTCATTCTGATGATTGTTACATTCTTGCTTTTCTGTTTCAGACTGGACGGACGACTCTTCGCAGCACCTCAACTGAAGACGTGAACCACAGCGGTAAGGACTTTGGACTTTAACACACAGACATAGAATGAAAAAATTGCCTTTTTTAATGTTGTCCCTCATCAGAAACATACCTGGAGTTGTATTTTGCTTCTTCCACATTTGTTTCTGTGTAAAATAATCATCTCGGCTTCATCATGTTAAATCCCATTAACTTTTTCTTTTGCTGATGCTGTTGGTCTGAGCAGGAGGCTCTTCTATCCTAAGGGAGAAAATGGCCAAGTACCAGGCTACAGTCTCCAAACACGCACCAAAGCTGACCACCGTGAGTCAACACTACTCTTAGAAATGTGTCGTTTATCCTCTTGTGGTTCATTTGTGTGGCATGTCAACAGGTCAAAAGTTCTTACCAAAGGGCTAAAGGAAAATTCCAGTCACTTCACTTAAAAGTAAAAAGTTTGGACACACTTTTTCTTTCATGGTTATTTACATTGTAGATAGTCACTGAAGGCATCAAAACTATGAATGAACTCATATGGAATTACCGTATTTTTCATACTATAAGTCACTCGGGAGTATAAATTGCACTTTTTGGGGGAAATTGATTTTATAAAATCAGAGACCAAGAACTGACATTTCATTAAAGGCAAGTTATAGTAATAACTATAGAAAAGAGAACAGACTGAATTGGTGTCTGGTATGTTAATGTAACATGTGAACAGTTCTTCAGATAACTATAACATAAACAACAGAACAGAACAAGTTTACTAAACTTTCCATCTCACTCCAAATCACTAAATCTATTGAATTCTACATCCTTTGTGTCACTTCTGAGCAACTCCCATAGAACTATAATAAATTATTATAGATTCCTGGCATTTCCGCCACCTCCAGAGGTAAACAGAGCGCCCCTTCCTCTTCTGTGTAAATGTCGTCAGACTCAGCATCAGTTCCAGTTAGAATTATTTCAGTCTTTCTGAATCCCGACTGGATGGTTTCGGTGTCACTGAAGTCCAGGCTTTGTCCATCCATCCAGTAACTTCCAGGAAATTTGCATGGTGCATCCTCCCGGTTACCGTGAAGCTGTGTTCTCCATCCCTCCAGTCCCTCACAAGTTTCTTCCTCACTCCAAACTTTCTTTTTGCTGCTCCGTTACTGTTTTTGGTTGCATACTTCACTACTTGCAGCAGGACAACAACCTTTTCTGCAGGAGACATGAGCAGCAGATACTGACACACAAGACTAGAGCCTCTCACAGCTGTCAGTGTGAATATTTTAATATAAGTTGCACCAGAGTATAAGTCTCAGGAAACACCCAAACCATGAAAAAAAAGTGCAACTTATAGTCTGAAAAATATGAAATGCAAAAAATAAAAAATAAATAAATAAACTTCAAAATAACTCAAGATTTTAGATTTGTTTAAAATAGCCTTTACCCTTTACGTTGATCACTACTTTGTACTTTAGGCATTTCTTGACCCTGACATGGCACAGCTGTGAAGTGAAAACCGTTTCAGGAGAGGCCAAGGGTTTGCAGCGCTGTCAACTAAAGCGTAGGGTGGATACTTTGACGATTTAAATTTAAAATATAAAAATATTTCATTATTTACTACATAATTCCATAGATCTTGTTTCCTATATTTGAGGTCCGTATGTAGTAGTAGTAAACATAAAGAAAAAAACTGTAAATGAGAGGGCATGTCTAAACTTTTGACTTGTGGTGTATATTTGTTAACATAAACTGAACCTCACTGTCAATTTTCTTCATGGGAAAATAAAACAATGAATGGCTCAACATTATAACAACAACTCTGATACTTTCACACAAAATGAGAGGTGCATTCTTGAGCGGGGAGCCCTGTTAAAACACGCATCAATAATCTCTGAGCACGGCTTGTACCTTTACATTGTACACGCTTGATTTAAGTTCATTATCTGGACCAGGTCAGATCACCGCAGCCTCATTGTTCACATTCGTTCTGCTTTAATTGCTTCCTTCCTGCGGTTTCTTAAAATAGAAACGTCACTCACTGTAACTTAATGTAATGTTTTTTTGGCCTTTTCTTTGTGTTTTCAATCAGGGCGAAACTCTGGCTCCGAAAACGTCTGCTTCCGAGTGCAACGGCGAGAAGGTCAATGGTGAGGCTACTTTGAGCTTGACTGCAGCAAAAACACAGCCGCTCGGAAAGTATTTGGGTTTAGAAGGGCTAGTTTTACTGAGAAAAGAGGGTGGAAACCAGGACTGAACCAAGAACTAAAAAAAGACTAGGACTAAACCAGGTCTAGAATAGATCAGGACTAAAGGACTAAACCAGGTGCTGTTTTATTTGGGTAAGAGTTAGAGCTGGGTGTCATTAAGAAGTTGTTGATACAATGCATACCTCGATACATAGGCCACGATTAAATACATACTTTGATACTTAGGCCATGATACAATACATATCTCGATACAAAGGCCACAATATGATACATACCTCAATACAGTGAACTTTCAAATGCTATACAATATATTTCAAATCGATATGGTTCAATAAAAAAAATATGGCTAAATCATGGCTGTGACACTAAAAGTCTTTGTTAAACCACTTCAAGTTCATATGAAACAAACATTTTATTCATCAAACTATTTAAAAGAATGAGAACTTCGCACATCAGTTACTTGAGAAGGGTGCGTTGGAGAAGAGGGAGCAGCCCAAGAACATAGAGAAAAATCCCTCATCCCTTGCAAATGGTGAGATTTATTAGGACAAACCGTGCAACGTTTCAGCACTAGGCCTTCGTCGGGCAAACAGAATGAGAGCTCAGGTGGCCATCTTAAATAGGGTGTGGCAAGCACCCAAGGGTGACAGGTCATAAAGGAACAGTGCACCCAAAACACCATCATTCAAAAACACTAAGACAAACAACATACAGTGTAATAATAATAATAATAATGAAATATTAATCATAGTAGAAAAATCTTTGAATAATAATAGAAAAATAAAATAGAAGAGTATCTGGATAGACATAGTATATAATCACCCAACTGTGAAATAAGCCTGTCGTGCCATATACATTTATATATACTAGGGATGTCACAATAACCAAAATATTGTGATTTCGTATCGTCAAAATTCTCACACTTATATCGTGGACCATCACAATATATCAAATTACAAGTCTCTTTGCATAAATCAAGAGTTATTATACAGCAATAGCTGAAAAAAAAAGACAGAGGAAACTACATAGACCATGATCCTTTGCTCCATTTCAGTGTAGACTACAAGAAGAAATAATATTTCTAAGCATTTTTAAGTCTTACTTCTTTGGATTAAGTCTTGTCAAGACATTTTAAGAGGAAAAAGTAGTATATTAACAATTTTGTAAGCCTCCACAAAATAGCAATAAATATCGTACCGTGAGATGTATATGGTGAAAATATTGTACTGAGAGATTTGGATATTGTAATATCTCTAATCATGAGCTTCCCCACCATATTGTGAGCTTTCCCACAATATCGCAATAAGTATCGTACCGTGAGATTCATACCATGATGATATCATATCGTGAGACTTGGATATCGTTACACCCCTAATATATACACAATGGATCTTAAAATCTAGGCCATGTACACCCCAACAGAAGCAAGAGACATAATAATTAACACATGCCTACAAAAAATGTTTCTATTAAAGTCATCATTGAGACGTTTGGAGCTAAAGTTTGGAGGGTATGAATCCAAAATGCGCCGTTGTTTGTTTCCGTTTGTTTAAGTATACGGTCATGGTCCCCTTCTCTGAGTGGAGGGGGAACATGCCAAACTTTAGCTCCAAAAGGTCTATGAGAAAATGTCAAATGTGTTGCATAAACGAGTTTAAAGAGTTAGAATTATAGCACTGTACCAAAATAATTTAGTAAAATATACCAAAAAATACTCTTATATATCAATACAGCAGCCTACGATATCGATACTGTATCATCACATTAAACTATATGATATATCGATATTTTGATATTTTTACACACCCCTAGTAGTAGTTTAATTCAATCCACACAGGTGATAAACTTGTGTTGTAGCCTCTGAACTATCATTACTCACACACAACATTCATTCTAGGCAATGTGGGTGAAGTGTCTTGCCTAAGGACACAACAACACCAGCGGCTCACTGTGGCACCTAATATTCTGAGCCGTCTCCCACGGCCCTGCTCAGCTTTTGAGATCAGCTGAGCTCAGGCTTTGACAAGAAGCTTTGGCCACTTTTAGAACTAAAATACATCATCGCTGAGACAATTTAAAAGCCTATTGTGAAGCAAACGTCTGGGTTTGGAAAAGTCTAGGCTTGGTAAAAGGCGAAGACTAAGACAGGTCTGAACCAAGAATGTCGACCTGGTGATGCAGACGTGGTTCAATCCTGCCCTAGTCGCGGTTTAATCCAGGTTTAGTTCCAGTCTAATCCCGATATTGATGTGGTGTGTGTGGGCCACAAAAAGTCTCACGGACATATTATATGACAATATAAAACTTGAACTTGACAATATCTTGAACTGTTGTACTATTGCAATATAAACAACTTAACCTTTTTCCTTTATTGTGTTTCAGGTGAAGTGAGTGACCCTCCTAAAACCGCCAAAGTGAGTCAGATCCCTCTCCCATGTTCTCTTTACACTATTACCCACAGACAATGAGAAGTTGTAATGTCCAGGTGCTTTAACTAAGTAGGAAGATGTGGTCTATGGGGAAGCACCATAATCTCTTCCATTATTTATTTAGTATCATGTATATTCCACCCACCCATGTCTATCTGTAAATGCTACTACATTGCACTTTTGCCTTGGTGAGACTTTCAGGCAAACATCAGTCCCGTTCATTTCAAAACGCTGCTGTTTCACTACAAACCAACACTGCCCTGACTCTAGAAGGATTTATACTTCAAGATCGACAGCCCCATGCAAAATAATACCAGGACTACATCAGGGCTACACCAGGGCTACACCAGAACTGAGCCAGGACTAAACCAAAACTGAATCAGGACTAAACCAGGACTAAACCAAGACTGAACCAGCACTAAACCAGGACTAAACCAGGAATAAACCAAGACTAAACCAGGACTAAACCAGGACTAAACCAGGACTAAACCAGGACTAAACCAGGACTAAACCAGGACTGAACCAGGACTGAACCAGGACTAAACCAAAAGTACACCAGGACTACACCAGGACCAAACCAGGACTGAACCAGGTTTTGTAGTCCATGTGGAACTCATTTGCTCAAGGTCGACAGCCCCATGCAAAATACTACAACCTGAATGAAAATGGCTGCTCTGGATAAACAAAGTGATTGCTTTGTGTGCTGTTGTTTGTAGTTCCGTCTGCCCGCCCGCGAGACATGTTACGCCTGTGTGAAGACGGTGTACCCTCTGGAGAGACTGGCCGTTCTGCAGCACGTCTACCACAAGAGCTGCTTCAAATGTGCCCACTGCAGCACCAGGCTCAGGTACACTCACCACACAACCCACTCATTACATCTGATGTTTGTGATTTACATGCACAGATCTGATCATCACAAAGACCATTTAGGCCACGTTCAGACTGCAGGGCTTAATGCTCAGTTTGGATTTTTTTTTTGTGGAATCCGATTTTTTTGCGAGGTCGTTCACATTTCCACTTAAATGCGACTTGTGTGTGATCTCCAGTGTGAACTTTAAACACCCCAAAAGTGTCCCACATGTGCATTTAGAGGACACGACGACGTCACAAACAGCGAACATGCTCAGTGTTTACTAGAGGTGTGACGATATCCAAGTCTCACGATACGATATCGTCACTGTATGAAGCTCACGGTACGATATTTATTGCGATATCGTGGGAAAGCTCAGGATATGATGGGGAGGCTCACGATTAGGGATGTAACAAAATCCAAATCTCTTGGTACAATATTTTCACAATTTACATCTCACAATACGATATTTATTGCGATATTTTGTGGAGGCAAACAAAACTGTGAATATGCTGCTTTTTCCTCTTAAAATGCCTTGACAAGAACTAATCCAAAGAACTAAGGCTTAAACGTGCTTAGAACTGTTCTTTCTTCTTGTAGTCTGCACTGAAATGGAGCAAAGGATCATGGTCTATCTAGTTCCCTCATTTTTTTAGCTGTTACTACACCATAATGCTTCATTTGAGCAAAGAGACTTGCAATTGTATCACGATATTTTGGTTATTGTTACATCCCTAGTGTTTACGGAAGTCACCTAAACATGGACGCAGCACTGAGCACTTGGAGATTTTAAAGCTGCTGTTGTACCGGAGCCAGAACATGTATAACTTATTTGTTTTAAGGAGGAGATTGAGAAGGAGAAGGACGAGGTTTTTGGTTGTGGTGTTTTGTGGGGCAGTGGCACCGACGTCTCTGGAATTAATATGAATATGAATAGGGCATGAGATGTGCTTCACTCACACGGAGTTCAGACACAATTTTTGTTTGTGTACATTTGTGACGTGTAGGTGGGATGAATGTGACCTGGCCGTTCAGACTGAAGTCACATGTCAAAAGATCAGATATGTATCAGTTTTAGGAGCACATATATATATATATGACACGTTACTCCCAACACTGGTAATAATAGTTAGTCGCAGCCTTAGTGTGCAGCTGTAGTACTACACACTGAAACTTGACACTGTCTTGTTTTTGTTTTGTCTCTAGTCTGGGTAACTACGCCTCCCTCCACGGAAACGTCTACTGCAAACCCCATTTCAACCAGCTCTTCAAGGCCAAAGGAAACTACGACGAGGGCTTCGGACACAGACCCCACAAGGAGCTGTGGGAGCCCAAAGTGGAGGGAGAAGAGGAGAAAGACGCGAAACCCACCCAAAACGAAGTCTCAAAACCTCCAACTCCAAGCCCAGTCAACGCCAACCCAGACCCGTCCCCAAGCGTAGAAGACTCCCCAATCGCAAAAGTCACCGATTTAACGCAACTTTTGGAGAAGCAGCCGCAAGAAACGAAGGAGAAATCGAGCGAAAAACCAATTCCGAGTCGCAGGTTGCATGTAGCGTGGCCACCTCCAGGCGGGGAAGGCCAAAACGGTGGCCCCTTGAGTCCACTGAAGGAAGGAGGAGGAGTGTCAGTGAGGAGCTTTAAAAAATGGCCTCCAGAAGATGAACCAGTATCTTCATTCCAAAGCACGGAGAGAGCGGAGCTGAAAAACCTGAGGAGAAGTTCGTCTTTGAAAGAGCGAAGCCGGCCCTTCACGCTGTTGAAAAACTCAGAGGCAGGCACCGTAACCGTGAGGCAGCGAGAGCCCAGACGACCACTGAAAACTCTGCAAGAATGGAGGGCGTCGATGGAGGAGAGGCTGTCCATGGAGGAGAAAGAGGAGACCAAACCAGAACCGAAACCAGAGGAGGTCCTAGCTCCCATTAAGGAGAAGCAGGAAGTCCAGGAAAGTCCCAAAGAAGTTCAGCCCCAAGTCCAGGACGAACCGGACCAAGATTCTCAGGAAGAACCGGAGATGAGCGCGGAAGACATTATCAAGAGGAACAGATACTACGACGACGAATACGAAGATGACGACATGGTGTAGTGGAGAAGTTAAGCCTAAACCTGCCACGATAACAAATTTTAAAGCACAGTAAATCGCTGAAGAGAAATAAAGGGACTTATTTTACGCTCTACAGCTCAAATCGAATCAAATCACAACGAAAATAACAAAAATCTTCCCATTATCACAAAGAAAATGTACACGGAACATTGAAACCCCAAAATATCTCTTTCCAGCTTTCATACACAGAACGATAAATCGATATCGTGATTATCATGACAGGCCTAGTTAAGCCATAGTTCTTCATATCCAGGTGAAAATTTTAGTCTTTTCTTACGCAATAGATCAAATTACACAACAAAGGGGCATAAAAAGTTGTAAATATTAGGATTGCTTTTCGCTGTATTGTGGGGAAAAAAATGTCGCGTGCATAATTTGAAAAGCAAAAATTGATAATAATGCCATTTTCTGTTTTACAAGAAGTCGAAAGTAATTGTCCTATTAGAGATTTTGTATTTAAATTTTTATACCCAGGTTTACACAGTTTTGACTTAAAGATGCACTGTGTAACTTTTTTGGTGGAGCATCTGTCACTTGCTTTTCTCTGCTGAGAGGTTTTGAAGGTTTTTTGCCTGGAATGTTCCACAGTATGGCATTAAAACATATGTATCTCCATGGAGATGATACCAGACTAAGTTACAGGTCATTCACAGTAAGAGTTTGTTTTTCGATGTGTGTTTGAACAATAGAAATTTAGAATTAAATAAATGTAGGTAAGTAGATAAAGGTACTAGAGATGTAACAATCACTGAAATATTGTGATATCGTATCTCACAATAATAAGTCTTACACAATATATCGAATTACAACTCTTTTTACTTAAATTAATAGTTATGGTGATTTTAAGTCTTTTTTATTCCGTAAAGTACTTTGAATTATGGTTGGGCGGTAATACAGTATTATAGTGTACTGCGGTATCAAAAAGTAGCAAAAGTATCAGTTTCATTTTAAAAATGTGCAGCACATAAGCACCTAATATAATATCATTTATTGATATCTACACGTTTGCTCAGCACAAATGAATGTGTGGTTGTATTTTCAATTTAATGCATCACAATTTAAATCTAATAGTATCTATAATGTTTCTTTTAACTGTGTGGGGAGACGACGTTCGATTAGTTTTGTTCTGTTGTCGCAGGAGACCAAGCGAGTTGGTCCCTAAAAGAAAAAAATACTAGTACTTCTGCAACTTGGCAGCATTTTGGTTTCAGGCCACATTTGTTTACGTTTTACAGAAACGAAACTTATAAGCACATGATGGCTCATTTGCATAAACTATAAAGCGCTGATAAAAACAGCTCTTTCCTTGTGCACTGATGTGGTTCAGTTTCTGTCAGACTAAAGGACACGACTCAGAGGAATATGAATGTTCTCTCTGTGACAGACGTTGTGCTTCTATCGTGTTGGAGATGGTTTGTGTAAAACTTATCAGAGATTATAAGACTGCAGGTCATACGCACAGACCAAACAGCGGTGCGGTTTCGTAGCCTATCAAAGTCATACTAAAACATTTGGTACCATATACCCCAGTAAAATCCTGAGAAGGTTTAACAGTATAATCATTTAGATACTGCCCAACCCTACTTTGAATTAATTATGAATTGTGCTATACAAATAAACTTTTCCTTGCCTTGTCCTGGTGCAGCAGTAGCTAAAACTACATAGACCATGATCCTTTGGTGTTGTCAGTATAGATGACGTGAAGAAATAACTGTTAAGAAGCATTTTTAAATCATAATTCTTCACATTATAACAGTACCAAGGTTTGTCAAGGCATTTAAAAAGAAAAAGCAGCATATTCACAATTTTGTAAAGCTTCACAAAATATCTCAATAAATATCAAACCATGAGATGCATATCATGAAAATATTGTATCGAGGGGTTTTGGTATCGTTACATCCCTAGTAAATATGTTTAATGCCATACTGTGGAAAATTCCATGTAAAGCAATGACATCCACAGAGACAAGCAGGTGGTGGACTGTCCAAAAGTTACATAGTGCAACTTTAAGCAAAAAAACAAACATTCCAGATGTTCTTTTTCTTTTTTGTAATTTTGTTAAAATATGTAATCAATATTTAACAGAACTTTCCACATTTTATATTTGCACATTCTTCTCGAGGTTATGACCTGATTTCGGCTTAGAGTCTTTTGTTATTATGCCGACGCCTGGGACAGCGATGCCTTTGTTTGCTAATATATGCATTTTATATTATTTTATTCAAATTAAGCTTTTATACATCTCAATCAGAACTGAAATAAGGTTCACTAAATGATCTCTGTGTCTAAAACTACGCTACGTTTCACTTTTGTTGCTACGAAAAAGCCATTTGAACGTGTTTTGTATGGGAAAACCTTTTAAATACTGTGATAAAAACGACATAACCATAAAATTCTACAGTACTGTTTCTGCTCGTTTAAATCCGGTCTGAACTTGGACTAAACCAGGACTAGGGCTGCAAAATTAAACGTCTATCTCTAATGCACGGTTTAAACTCAACAAAATTTACGAATATACAAGAAAAAATGCTTATGACCCTGTACCTTGAGTTTTATTCCTTCTGTTTTAGTTTTGTAGCGGTCCAAAGTTCTTCCTCACTCATCTTACACATTCCCAGCATTCCAATTATTCACCATGATGAGTTTATAAGCACTTTTCACAACTCTCAGAAGCCAGAGTGGAGTTTTGCTGTCACCATAACACTAACAACAACAACAACTAGTAGTGCACTTCCTGATTATCCTGATTATTACTCTCGATTTTTTTATTCTAGTAGACTTATTTTGACCTCAAGAGCTGCTTATAGGTTTGTAGTTTTATTTTTTATTAAGAGAATTCTGTTGAAAGTTCACGTTTTTAACTTGCTCAGGAGAATTAGAAAACTAATCCAGGAATTCCGTGTATTTCAGAGCATGTTTGTACATGTTTGCACAGTTTTTACAAGATAAAAACATTTAAATCTATCAGAAAATGATTTAAAAGTAGTGAAATGATCTGTCCGTGCAGCAAGATCATTTTATTTGACAAGTTCTCTTAAAATAAATGACTTCTAAACTAGAATGAAGCAGCCTCACAACTAGTAAGTCGAAAATAAATCTGAAACCAAGATGAATAACCTCTTATAACTTTTAAAATCTTGGCCAGATCAGAGAAATTTGCAGCGTACAGATCTAAACTACTAGTCTGATTCATCAGCTGGTTTCACATGGTCGAAACCGTCTGACCTCGCAGCATTAGGATTCGTTCACTCGACATAGGCGGGTACTTTTCTTCATTTAACCATTCACTGCTATTTGGTAGTGACATATGTAATGCGCCGCTAATGGGGCTAAATGGTATATTAAACTTTTCCCCAAATCCCGTAGGAAGAAGGACAATAACGTCTTTCCCCTTGATAAGATTCACCAAACTTTCTCTTTATTCTGTCTTTAAATCCTTGATCTTGGGAATCGTTGCCAACACAGAATGTATGGCTCTTCTCTGATTGGCTGGTGCCCGAACTCTCACTTCTGGAGTTTCTGCGAACCGTCAGGGGTGTCCAAACTACGGCCCGTGGGACAGATGCGGCTCTCAGACAAATCTTTCTTGGACCTCAGGCTTCCATGTGAATTGGCCCAGATTATCTTGCATCAGTTAAAAATGAAGATCTACCTTGATAAAGCCAATATTGAATATTTAGTGTGTGGTTTTAAGGATCTTATCGTGAATAAAGACTGATGGATCATTCTAACGTGTTAAACATGCACATATTTCAATTATTCACTGTACTGAGCACCAGTCTACGGCCCTTGATCAGCCCTCTGCTTCATCTGTGTTTAGATATGTGACCCTTGATGAAAAAAGTTTGGACACACCTAGTCTAGTGTATTCTGATTCCTGACCTATTCGCTGGAGAGAAATGAAATTGAGTGGACGCACTTGGTGGCGCCAACCTGGCTACTAAACTACAGTGTCGAACGGTTCTTTTGATATGATTATGACTCTTTTTGCAGCCCTAGTACAAACCAGTATACCACCAAACTGTTTTTTATTTAATTTTCTTGTATGTTTGTGAGATAATGTAAATAATGGATAAATTTTTGTCTTCAGGAATCAGTTTTCCGGTGTTAAAATGGAGCTTTAAGGCCAAGTTCTGTGTAGGAGTCCATTCGCATGCATTCACACTAGTCCTGATTTAGACTCGGTTCGGTCCTGGTTTAGTTCTGCTTAGTGCGCGAGTGTGAACATAACCCAGTTTCATTTATTGCGGTTCGTTTCTTCATTTTAACGATCTGTTGCAATAACCAAAACCATGCTCAAACTCTTGTGTCTTTGCACTGCTGTTCAATCAACATTTTGTATGACTTTGTATCGGAAAAGAACTGGAAACATTAAATAATAGAAAGAAATTGAAGTGAATGAGTTGAAGTTTGTACCGTCTCCTCACTGTCCCACTGTCTCCATTAATCCAAACCATCCTTAAAAACAAAAAAAAACAGACTTAAGTGTCATTTTTTATTAGTTTATAACCTTTTACAACCAGATAGTTCCTCATTTTTTTCTCCAGCATCACTTAACAGTCCACAGCCCATTTGAAATTTGAAATCACAGTCTGTAAACATGATCCAAAGCAGGAAATGTCAAAATCAAAGTTCAGTGACTAATTTTGCGTTTTTAAACTATCGTATATTTGACACATGCAAATAATATTACTCAAGAAGAAGAAGTGGCATTACTTGAAGGAAATTTATATAAGTTACATGCTTTTGTTGTGAAAATTGTAGTAAAATAACTAACTCGGAACTAAACCGAGCATTGTGGTTTTGCAGGATTTTTGGGCACGGCTTTCAAAAATCCATTTCCAAAAAAAAAAAATCCAAGTGTTTGATCCAGCCTGGGAAACCTTTGAGGAGCTGTGGGTCAGACGTAAACGTGCCAGGATCACGGTCAGAAGAAGGAGCTGCCTGTTTTACATGTAAGGCAAATCATTTCCGCTCCTCTGCATTTGATTTTCCACAAATTTCCCTGAAGTGTACCTTAACCTTAAAGCTCCTGTGTTATGCAAATGGACTCTTGTGAGATTTAAGCCATGTTTGAATGTTGTTACCTCCTCAGAAACAGACCTGGAGTTGCATTTTGTTTCATTCACACAAACAAAATGCTCTGCTCCACCTTGTGATGTTAAGAAGCGGTATTTTTCAACATAACAGCTCCTTTTCCCTTCAGTTCAGTAGAGATTGGCAATTCCAGGTCTTAAATGATCCACATGATTCTAGTGAAGGTGTGTGGCATTTAAAAACACAATAGAACACTTCCTGTCCTATAGGTGTGAATGAAACAAAAGTCCAGGTCAGTTTGTGAAGAGGAAACAACATTATAACAGATGGGAAAATATCATAACCTTAAAAAAAAACAGAGAATCTGCAAAATCTACGTAGAAATCCTCAAACGTTGCTTTTAAAATCATCAAATTATGACTTTTTGGTTGTAGGTCTGTTTGTGAAAAGAAAACAACATTATAACAATCAGAAAATACCATCATATGAGCCCTTTAATCGTAAAAAGATGAGAAATCTGCAAACTCTACGCAGAAACACCCTAATGCTGCTTTTAAAATCGTCCAATTATTATATTTTGGTTCTAGGTCTGTGTGTGAAGAGGAAACAACATTATAACAGATGAGAAAATAGCATCTTGTGGGCCCTTTAACCTTAAAAAAACAAAACAAAACAAAAAAACAGGGAGAATCTGCAAACTTTACACCGAAAGCCCCAAATGTTGCTTTTAAAATCGTCCAATTATTATTTTTTGGTTCCAGGTCAGTTTGTGAAGAGGAAACAACATCATAACAGATCAGAAAATAGCATCACATGGGCCCTTATACCTTAAAAAGACAAGAAGAATCTGCAAAATCTACATAGGAATCCTCAAACGTTTTTTAACTTTTAAAATCGTCCAATTATTATTACCTGGTCCCTGAAGGGTTGACCAGGTTTTGTATTCACCCTGTGTGTCTGTGTGTGTGCCCACCTGTGATAATTCTGCTATTTATGGACTGATTGTCAACAAATTTGGTACGTGGGTCAAGCCCCCGTGCCTGATGCCACAACAAAAGTTTGGTGACGATCCGAGGTCATTTGAGATCACACGGGTCAATTGAAAGGTCACGCCATTTTAAAGGATAAAGGCAATTTCGGCAATTTCTGAACCATCTGCGGCTTAAAATATTCACCCAATCATCACACAAGTTGGCACACACATAACCGGGGTACACTGGATGTTACAGGTTGAAACCGGTCAAAGTCACTTAAAGGTCAAGGTAACCAAGGTCAAATACGCGTTTTTGGTCATAACTCCGCGAAGGATCGAGCTCGAGCAACAGGAGTGTCTCAAAATAACATATAATTAGTGATCATCTCAAAAACTATTCATAACAGTTCCTTTCTCTTTCAGTGTATGCCGTTAAAATTCTAATTGGAACGAAAAATTTCGTTCCACACTAATAAAATCAGACATTCTCATGTGTGACCAATATCACACAAATGTTCATGGGCCTGTACACATACACACATTGTATTGTGGATATAATGATCATGTAATATGGGCTGGACTCCTCATAAACTGCTTCTGTGGTGATGAACTGACCCCACCAACGCCTCATGGGGACCAGGTTGATATCTCTGGTTGTTCTTGTTATTTTTTTGGTTCTAGGTCTGTTTGTGAAGAGGAAACAACATTATAACAGATCAGAAAATAGTGTCATATGGGCCCTTTAACCTTAAAAACACACGAAGAATCTGCAAAATCTATGCAGAAATCCTCATACACTGCTTTTAAATTCATCCAATTTTTATATTTTGGTTCTACGTCTGTTTGTGAAGAGGAAACAACATCATAACAGCTCACAAAATAGCATCTTATGAGCCCTTTAACCTTAAAAAAAGACACGAAGAATCTGCAAAATCTACGTAGAAATCCTCAAAACCCATCTTTTGCTTCTTTAAATTGATTTCCCTTCCCCAAAGAGCACCACTGCGTTCTGTCTATTGTGTATTATCTTCTGGAAATCCAGGAAGCGCTCCTTTTGAAACTCTTCTATACTTGAAGGTCCTACATTACACTAATTTCTGAGTTGTGTTTTGTTTCATTCACACTTTTAACACACAAACCCTGAATTTTTAGTTCTTCTCTCAAATAGAAAACACTCCAGCAGATAGATTTTAAACTCCATACTCCTTCACTAACTCCATACTCCTTCACTAGAGTCATTTGGATCATTTCAGCTCTAGAATTGCCAATCTCCACTGACCTAAAGGTAAAAGGAGCTGTTAATAAAAAAAATAAAAAAAAACATATGACATCACAAAATGGACCAGAGCATTTTGAGCTTTGGAGATGTAAACAGACTAATAATAATGCAGGATTACTCAAACATGTGAATGAAACAAAACACAATTGTGGGTCTGTTTTGGAAGAGGTAACACAATTCTAACATGATTTAAAGCTCACAAGAGTCCATTTTGTGTCATACAGAACTTTTGTCTGTCTGACATTATGACATTTTCTGAAAGTTTATGGAAAAAATTAACAGAAAAAGGACTTCCGGAAGCAGAGCGGACACGGAAGCGGGTGGGACTGTTGAGCTCCATTGTGTCCAGCGCTGACTGTTGCAGCACGATGGGAGTGGACTTCAAATAATATTGAAAAAATAAACACAGACAGACATCAGAACAGAACACAGACATCAAATTACACATTTTTACTTGTATTGCACAACCCTGTAACAAATCAACAGAAATTTGACAGAAATTTAAAATATAGATGAACATAAATGAACAATCCGTGTGTCATTCGTTCATTTGTTTTTCAAAATAAAACCAAAAATATGAAAATGAAAAAACAACTATTTTCTTCATTATTTGTCTCTAAAACCAAAATGAAAAAACAGATAATGATTCTTTTTTTCAAATTTTGATTTTGTGTTTAAATGAAGAATGGAAAAAAACGGGTAACAGCAGTTTCCTGTTTCTGTGACTTAAAGTAAGATGCCGGACTAAACCAGGACTAAACCAGGACTAAACCAGGTCCAACCAAACTGGAATCAGACCGGGACTGAGTTCTGAACTGAGACCAGGATTAAGACTGGGACCAGACCAGGACTGAGACCAGGATCAGGCCGTGATTGAGACTGGGACTTAGACTGGGACTGAGACCGGGAACAGACCGGGACTGAGACCAGATCAGGCCGTGATTGACCGGGACTTAGACTGGGACTGAGATCGGGACCAGACCGGGCTGAGACCAGGGCTGAGACCGGTACCAGGACCAAGAGTGAGACCAGGAACAGGACAAGGACTGAGACTGGGACCAGACTGGGACTGAGACCGAGAACAGGACCGGGACTGAGGCCATGATTGAGACCGGGACTGAGACCGGGACCAGAGGGGGACAAGACCGGGACTGAGACTGGGTTTCTGGGTCCTGGTTTAGACCTGTTTTAGTCCTGTCTTAGTCCTGGTTCAGTCCATATGCAGTATCACAGTTCAAATCACATAAACGGGAAACAGCGTTATCCATCTTTTCCATTTCTCATTTAAACACAAAATCAAAAACTGAAAAAACATATTGTTATCTTTTTTTTTTTCATTTTGGTTTTGGAGACAAATAATGATGAAAACTGTTATTTTTTCATTTTCTTATTTTTGGTTTTATATTGAAAAAAAAAGAAATGAACAAATGACACACAGATTATGAACATTTCTCTCCATTCTAAAACTTAATTTGAACTTTTTGCAGTGAGTACCTGTATAATAACAATAATAATGTTGCCACAAAATCCATCTTCACCATAAGAGACAAAACACGGACACAAAATTGGACATTTGGGATCACAGGGAGAGGCACAGTCGATTTAGTGCAAAACCGTAGAAGACCAGCAGGGGTCAGTATTACACCACTGATGGCATTAAGCATACAGCCCTGTGTGGCAAATAAGAGCTTCAAGACAAGCACTTTTTGGTTTCAAGAGCGCAGTGATTCCTACATTATTTGTTAAAGCCACAGTATGTAACTTTTTGCCAAGAAATAAACTATAACAGAATATTTTTATGACACTGAAAATATACAAAAATGCATCGTTAGTGTGAAAAGGCTTGTATTTAAAAAAAAAAACCAAAAAACAGCTTATTTCTCTGCCATCCTGCTTGTTTCCATGGAAATGCTGTTCCTTTGGCTATAATGTTCCGTTGTATAGTTTTATTTTAATTTTCTATTTCCATGGAGTCACGCAGCTAACTTTCCACTTCCACAAAGTTACATACTATCACTTTAAGATCATTATTCTGGTAAAAGTTTCACACCTGTATCAAGATTCAGCTTTGGACTCAAATTGGGCTGCACAATACATTACAAATTTACTGCAACAACTCGTTTTATTTGATTGTTTAGTTTTATTTACTTGTACCGTATTTTCCCGCACTATTAGGCACTCTGGATTATATGGTGCACTGTCATTAAATGGTCTATTTGCGAACTTTTTTCACAAATAAACTGCACTGGACTTTAAAGGAAACACAACAGTTGGATGGGTCAGTGGGACTTTGTTTGGCGCGTTCACTGTGACTCTGGGCTTTGTTCAGTTGTGGCGTGTAGGGAGGGTGCTGTCTGGGACCGCTGGATTGTTGGCGTGTTCGCAGTGACTGAGTTGTTCAGTTATTCTAGAAGTTAGGGATGGGCAAGATTAGTTGATTAATCGATAATTGATCAATTTCATCGATTACATTAATTTTAATCGACAATCTGAATGTAGGTTGCTGTGCGTAGGGTGACCAAACATCCATGTCCGGGGACAAACAGGGGTCCGTACATGTAGCTCTCTGCACTCAGAAGGAGCGAGACACAAACAGTCGGTCAGTCTGCAACGTGCCGAAGCGCAAATGTGCATTTAACGATGACTTGTACAAGAAATTCCACGCTTTCCGTTCCGGTCGCAGCACATATATTTCGGTGTCCAGTGCGAAAAAGCTCACCAGGACACCGAAAACATGAAAAAGCTTTGTCAGGTGAGAGAAGCTCAATGTCGATGATGAGGCCCCACCTCCCACCCCCCGTACGGTGTCCTGGTTTTGACAAACGCAAATCTGGTCACACTAACCTGTATTCCACTGAGTCGAGTCCTTTAGTCCGACAGAAGTTGAACAGCATCAGTGCACAAGAGCTGTTTTTTTAAATTTGCTTAGTTTATGCAAATGAGCCATGTGGTTTTAAGTTTTGTTTCTGTGAGAGTTGTGCAAAGCTGCATTAAACACATTATAATGTTAAATGGGCTGATGTGGCTCTAGAGTGGTTACAGTTTATATGTTGTAAAGTTGAATTTATTTATGCAGATTAGTAGTGCAGATAGTAATAATAATGACATTAATGATTAATCGATAATCGATCGTTAATTCTCCCGACCATCGATTAAGAAAATTTAATCGAATGCGCATCCCTACTAGAAGTGGCACATTGCACTCGCTTTTTCGGTTCGTTCCTACGTTTCCGTTCCTCGTCCTTGGGTGTTTGTCGCTGCGGCTTTGTAGTTTACTAAAGTCGTGTTGGGACACCTGAGTGGATTCGTGTGTAGGGCGCTCTGGATTGTGGGGCGCGCAGTCATTTTTTGATGGGGTTGGAGGCTTAAGAGTGCGTCCTATGGTGCAGAAAATACGGTAATGTAATTCTTTTTATATGTAATATGGTCAGTTCCAAGCCTGTAGAAATGATATGAGGGTGGTACGTCAGGTGAACTAAGAAATAGAACGTGAATGTTTTTTATGTAGAAATTAGAAAACTCCAGTAAGTTTGGAATAACTGATTAAAACGATATTGATTTATCTATTCATTACAATTCAATTCAAGTGCACAGGCGTAAAAAAGACACTGAAATCACGCTTGTTTACACTGAGTGCGTGTTCAGAATTACTGTTGAAGTGACTTGTCTAGAAGTAATTTAGCAACCGACTCGTCAGTTTTTAGACCCTTCGTCTGCTTCATTCGCACAATCACTGGAAGGAATCTCCAAGAATCACGTCAGTTTGTCTTCGCTCCTTTTCCCCTTCTCTTCTTCTTTCAGCGACCTCAAAAATGGACTTTCTTTTGCAGCGAACTGGTCGTCGATTCTCATCCGCCATCGCAACAAACTTTGTGCGAATTGTGAGGAAGCTACAATTTGAAAAAGTCCTCTAAGAACTGCTGCATAAATCACATAATCCCTGCGCGCCGATGAGTGAATTACACTAGAAACGTAGGGAGTTTGATTGACAACCTAACAGCCAATAGATAAAGAGGGAGCCTCGTTTTCTATTGGCTGGTGTTTATCTGGCCTCACTACATCCACAGTTGATAGATTTTCATTCTTTTTTTTTCTTTTTTGGTCATCATAATTACAAGGCTGCTGCGTCTCTGTAATGGTATTTTAAACTTTCATTGACAATTTGAAACTAAAAAAACAATCCTCCATACAACCTTTAAAGGACGATCGTTTTGACTGTTGACCGTGACACCCTCATCAGCAAAATGTCCAAAATGAGAAAAATTTACTTATTTCTATTTACATACAAGTTCAAGTTAAAACATTGTGTTTAAATTGCATTTTTCTTAAAGTTTCAGGTTGTTCATAATATTATAATATTTTGTAAAAGAAAGAGTTCATCAATTAAACAAGATTTCTGTAATTGATTTGTGTTTCTCTGCACAAATATTTGAACTTATTGTTATTTTTGGGGTTTATATGCCATGAGTTTTCTGATCCGGCCCCTTTGGGATCAAAGTAGGTTGGATACGACACCAGGATCAAAATGAGTTTGACACCCCTGCTGTAGAGTATGTGGATGATGCACGAGGGAATACTGAGGAGCAAAATGGATTACAGAACCAAACAGGTGTCACAGTCCTGAATCTCTGTCTGTATTCGGCGAGATAAAATATGAATGCTGAAGCTACAGGACTTGATGGTAGTGTTACAATACTCAAATTTCAAACCTGCTTTCAATACTAAAGAATAGAAAGTTTGCATTTTGTTCTAATAAATTACTGTAAAAACCTAAACATCTTATTTACTTAACATGTTTTGGCAGACGTGCTATCCTTGAAACATGTAACTGCAAAAATGTTTGGCCAAAATGTAAGATATAAACACTTAAATCTACCAGAATAACTTTAAAGTAGTGAAATTATCTATCCATGCAGCAAGATCATTTTACTTGACAAGTTCTCTTAAAATAAACTGTGTCTAGACTAGAATGAAGCAGCCTCTGGTCTATTAAGTCAATAATAAATCTGAAAACAAGATCAATAACCTGATATAAGTTTTAAAATCTTGGAAATTTGCAGTGTATTAATTAGGGATGTAACGATATCCAAATGTCACGGTATGATATTATCACGATATGCAGCCCACGGTACGATATTTATTGTGATATTTTGGAAAGGCTGATATAATTGTAGATGGAACACACTTTTTTGCTTTTAAAATACCATGATAAGATTTTGGTGTGAATTATTTCTGTCATAATGTCAAGAATTCAAGAATTGTCTGCACTGAAATGAATCATGGGATATGTAGTTTCCAACATTTCTAAGCTGTTGCTACTAAAAACCCACGCATTTAAGCAAAGGAACTTGTAATTCGATACATTTTGACAGCCGACGATATTATTTTGAGACTTTTGATGATATGATATCACGATATTTTGGTTATTGTTACAACCCCAGTATTAAGCTTAGAATGAAACAAAAAGTGTCTATATAAAAAGAATGACTTTTATAGACCATATTGTAATTCTGAACACTATAGTATTTGTGTTTTTTTTTTATTTCTAGTTGCGATATAAGTTTTAGTATCGATTAGTATTTGATTTTCGATACATTTGGCAACAGAATAAACCTCGTCACATTTCTTACGCAGCTTTATTGCGATCAGTTATTGCATATATGTTTATTTTCTAATATTGTGCAGCCCTTAAGTGATTTCTTTATAAGACGATTGGATTTAAAGCACATTTTGATTCAAGTTTACACCAGCATTTTAAAGCCTTATTCCTCAGAAGTGGCGCCCTCTTGTGGCGACCGTACAGTTCATATTTGATAGACTTTGGCCTGTATGTTCCTTTGTATGTGTGTGTGTGTGTTAATAGTTTTATCCGCTGAGTGGGTGCAGGTCCACTCTGACCCTCTCCCCCGTGCTCATCATCCCGATCGTGGGGTAGAATCCACCAGAGGGCAGCACCGCCTCCTTACGACCCACCACCTTCCCGTTACGAGTGAAGAACACCTGTGCAAACAAACCGTCAAATATAGAGACATTTAAATCAAGTTTGATGTTTTTGATTACTTCCTGGTGAGTAAAAGAATTCTGATTTTTGGGCTCAGGGCATAGAGAGGTAAGGTTTTCTGAGCACTAAATTACAAATAAAAGACTTATGGGCTCAAAAACAAAACAAAAAAATTTATTGGAACTGTGTTTTGTTTCATTCACACATGTTTGAGCATCCCTTTATTATTAGTCTGTTTACATCTCCAAATCTCAAACTGCTCTGTTTCACCTTGTGATGTCACGAAGCTATAGTTTTCAAGTTAACAGCTCCTTTTACCGTTTGTTCAACAGAGAATGACGATTCCAGGGCGGTAGTGATCCAAATGATTTTAGAGAAGGTGTATGGCGTTTAAAAACACAGTGGAGCACTTCCTGTATTACCACATGATGTCACAAGGTGGAGTTCTTTCTGTTTAAGAGAAGAACTCAGCCTAAATCTGCAGGGTTGGTGTGTGAATGAAACAAAACACAACTCCAGGTCTGTTTGTGATGAGACAATAACATATTTGCCCTTAAAGCCTCAGATGCAGGACAATACACGCATCAAGAATCTCGGACTTCCGGTCATTGCGCAATGCATACTGGGAAGGATTTTCTGAAAAAGTGAGCATCAAACCACCATGTTTGTTTTTACAGTGGGATGTGTCTATTGACAAAGTCTTTTGAACCATTTCACTTTTGTTTCTGGTTCTGATATTTTCATATTTTAGCTTTGGGATTCGGACATCGTTAATTGTGTGGTTGTTGGATCCTAACAGCGGAAAAGGGCTCGAGAAATTTGTTTGCAAACTCCATAAATGTAAAAGGGAATCAGATGTGTGTGACTGCAAACCTCTGTTTAAACTGTTTCCCTTCCCATCGGAATTGAAAAATAGTGAAAGGTGAAGGTGATGGGCAGGATTGATCCACGGGAAGGATGAAAAAGGTAATCTCTGACTGCTTAAATCATCCTGAGTTTGCAGCGAACATTTGGTATGTGGAGGGCCATCAAAGCAAAATTCCGATCCCTCACTCGACCTCTGTTACGAATTTAAAAAGTCAACGCCAAAGCGTAAGGCACCAGCTGTAGAAACACCTTCCACTGAAAAGAGACCAAGACGCAATGTTGCTGTAAAACCACAAGAACAAGAAAGTGCGAGCTCAGCCTCTTTGTCTTCTGCACCTCTTGATTAACAAACAGGATCCCTTTTTGTTGGCGCTCCACATACAAAATGTTCGCTGCAAACTCGGGATGATTTAGGCAGTCAAAGGTTTCCTTTTTCGTCTTTCCCGTGGATCAATCCTGCCCATCGCTTTCGCCTTTCACTATTTTTCAATTCCGTTAAGAAGGGAAACAGTATGAATGGAGGTTTGAGTCACACACATCTGATTCCCTTTTGCATTTATGGAGTTCGCAAACCAATTTCTCGAGCCGTTTTCCGCTGTTAGGATCCAACAACCACACAATTATGATGTCTGAATCCCAAAACTAAAATATGACAATATCAGAACCAGAAACAAAAGTGATATGGTTCAAAAGACTAGAAAAGATCGGCTTTGTCAATAGACACATCCCACTGTAAAATCAAACATGGCGGTTTGATGCTCACTTTTTCAGAAAATCCTTCCCAGTATGCATTGCGCAATGACCGGAAGTCTGAGATTCTTGATGCGTGTATACAGAGCTACTGATGACGGAACATACTTCAAATAGTCAGTTACAATGCTTTATATGTCTATATATTTATTATGTCCCCCTTAACTTAAATAAAAAAAAAGAGATTTATCTATGCCAAAGAATAATTACTGTGTAATTTATGGTCCAATGAGGTTTATTTGGTCTTCCGATAATTTATGTTATTATGTTCTTATTTCAGACTAAGAGTTTGTTTTCATACCTGATAGTTTGGACTGCTCACTACGCTTTTCCTCAGCTGATTTATACAGGCTGTCTTCCTATAGATGGATTCAGGACGACAGCGCCATCTGCAGTCCCACTTCCTCAGGACAGTATCCCAGGTGTGCGAGAGTAAAAAAGCCCCTTCATAGAAACTGTCCTTACAGCATTAGGATTTGTTCGCTTGACAGTAGGTGGGTACTTTTTTTCATTTAACCAATCGCTGCTATTTGGTCATGACGTATGTAATGCACCGCTAACGGGACTAACTGGTATATTAAGCTTTTCCCAAATCCCGTAGGAAGAAGGACAATAACGTCTTTCCCCTTGATAAAATTCATCAAACATTCTCTTTGTTCTAACTTTAAATCCTCGATCTCCGGAATCGTTGCCAACACAGAATATATGGCTCTTCGCTGATTGGCTGGTGCCCGAACTTGTCCAACACAACACAACAACATCACATGATCACTCTGAGGAAGAGCACAGGGAGCAGTCCAAACTGTCAGGTGTGAAAACCAAGTCTTGGTCTGAAAAAAGAACCTAATAACATAGGTTCTGGTTGCTAGGTAACAGTTATGGAGGTACCTTTTCTTATGTCACATTCGCTGCCTCTATCCAAACACGAAGTCAAATTGTTTATATTTTTTTTATATTTTTATGTTCAGTTTTAGTGAAAATCTAAGCTGTCAAATTCTCTGGTTTGCATGTGTGGTTTGAAACAGTTCTTACCATGACCTTCCTGCCCTCCTGTGGCTCGTCCGCTCCTTCATCCTCATCTTCGTCGTTGTGGATGTAAAGTTCATTCTGGACTTCACTGGGTTTGGCAAACACCTCCATGTCCCACTCATCTTCATCCTCTGAAAAACACGACAGAATATCAGGGTTTATGCAGCTAACATGAAGGTAAACATTATACTTTCTAGATCTCCTTAACATTCATGATGTCACACACAACAGCTACACACATGGACGTCCAGGCAAGAGCGCTGAATATTTAAAGAGGGAGTATTATACTTCTATAGGCATTATTTGTTAACACATAACATATTTACATCACCATGTCACTTTTTATTGCTTTGAAAACAGCATATAACATGTTTAATAAATCCATGTGTCATTCATTCGTTAGTTTTTCAAAATAAAACCAAAAATAAGAAAATGAAAAACAACAATTTTCTTCATTATTTGTCTCCAAAATCAAAATGGAAAAAAATTATTTGTTTTTTCAGTTTTCAATTTTGTGTTTAAATGAATGTGATGCCGGACTTTGGTGCTGCATACAGACTGAACCAGGACTACACCAGGACTAAACCAGGAGTAAACTGGTCTCAGTCACGGTCTCAATCTTGGTCTCAATCCCGGTCTCAGGCCCGGTTTAATCCTGGTTTAATCCTGGTTCAGTCCTGGTTCAGTTCGGCAGAGTAAGTCACAGAAACGGGAAACGGCAGTTATCTGCTTTTTCCATTATTCATGTAAACACAAAATCGAAAGGTGAAAAAAATCATTATCCATTTTTTCATTTTAGTTTTGGAGAAAAATAATAAAGAAAATAGTTTTTTATTTCATTTTCATTTTCCTATTTTTGGTTTTATATTCAAAAATGAATGAACGATGATACACAAATTTTAATATGTTTCAGTTTCATTTTTCAAATCCCCACTCGATCTGCTCTCTTTGCTGAGGGAGAGCTCTACACAATCCCACTAATGACACTACTGCACACTGCACCAGGTTTGTGAAGTTGTAGTGCGTTGTTTTGTATTATGCTTTTGTATATTTATGGAGAATAGTCGTGTGGGAGCATGAATGAGATCGACTTGTGAGGAGAGTATTAGGACTCAATCTTACAACCAATCATAAGGAGGGTTTGAATTGTGCCCAGGAGAGATCGCTAGATTACTCAAACATGCATGGATGACATTTACAAGCTCTTCAGGCATGTGTTTGATGAGGAAACAACTATTAACTATTACACTGCATATATTCAAAGGATTTGTTTTGAAATTGAAGGTCGTCCAATATTTAGAATGTCATTTGCCAGTTTGAGCATATCAGTTCTTGGCTTTAAGTCTACAGCGTGGGCCTATATCTGCAGAGCTTATCAGACACTCTGGATTGCAAAATATCAGTACCAGCATAGTCCATAGAAAAACCCATTTTGGTTGACGTCTGCTTTTGTTCAGTTTTATGATTGCACATGAAACTCTCTGGCACTGTTCATGTTATTTTCTCTGATATTTTCTGAATGTTTGTGGTGAATCTCCCAGAGGTGAAGAGGAGCTGTACCTTCACTGTCGCAGGTGAAGTCTCGTGGAAACATGATACCACAGCCCATAATATCTCCTTCAAAACAGCGCGGGCCGAACGCGTCTCCCACGCCACTGCCACTGAACAGCTTTCCATCATCTACACCGAGAAAAGCACAACACAACAATATAAACTACTTTTAGCGTAGTACAACATTTTTTCCAAATGTTTACCAATTTGAGGCAGCCACACGCTACAGGATTTTTCAATCTTATATGATTTTTAAACATTCAACAAAAAGTGCACACCACAGACAAGAGGAGAATCTTATGAGACTTGAAATCTCCAATTGCAACAGTGTAGACTGTTGCAAAACCACTTGCTCTGAGACTCTTAAGTGTTCAAAAGATCAGAGCACAAGTCAAAACTGTGTAATTATTATTTATTATTATTATACAAACTGGATTAACATTGCTGTTTTTTGGACTGGATGTCATTATTTTTGGAGGACAATTTCTATGGATAATATGGATGAGATGCTGCACTTTAAATTTACAATTTTATGAGAGGTGAGGAATACTGTATTTTTTGGACTATAAGTTGCACTTTTTTTCATGGTTTGGCTGTTTCCTGCGACTTATACTCCAGTGTGACTTATATATTAAAATTTTCACACTGACAGCCTCAAGAGGCTCAGTCTTGTGTGTCAGTATCTGCTGCTCCTGTTCCTCCTGTACCACTGTCACTTCACTCTACTGCACATGTCTCCTGCAGAAAAAGCCGTTGGCCTGCTGCAAGTAGTGAAGTATTCAGCCGAAAACAGTAATCGAGCAGCAGAAAGAAAGTTTGGAGTGAGTGAGAAACTTGTGAGGGACTGACGGAAAGTGGGGATGGAGAACACAGCTTCATGGCACCCGGGAGGATGTACCATGAAACTTTCCTGGATGGATGGACAAAAACTGGACTCCAGTGACACTGAAACCATCCTGTCGGGATTCAGAAAGGCCGGAATAATTCTAACTGGAACTGATGCTGAGTCTAACGACAGCTACACAGAAGAGGAAGTGATGCTCTGTTTACCTCCGGAGGTCGCAGGGTTGCTCAGAAGTGACACCGAGGATGAAAAATTGAATAGATTTAGTGATCTGGAGTGAGATGGAGAGTTTGTTAAACTTGTTCTGTTCTGTTGTTTATGTTATAGTTTATCTGAAGAACTGTTTATATGTGACGTTAACAGTCTGTTGTTCTCTCTTCTATTGTTATTACTAGAACTTGACTTTCAACAGGAAATGTCAGTTCTTGGTCTCTGACTTTATAAAATAAATTTCCCCCAAAAAGTGCGACTTAGGTTTTTTCTTCTTCATTACGCATTTTTTGGCTAGTGCGACTTATATTCCGAGTGATTTATAGTGCGAAAGATACCGTAATTATTTTCGCCTCTGTGTCCATCACTCTGTCTGCCCCTGACGCTCTGTTTTATTAGCTGTTGCTGTAGCGTTGCTGATGTTTGGTGGTCTGACAGAGCAGCTCAGAGTCACACACACACGAGGAGCGCAGCAGCCTCAAAATCACACACGAAGACACAAAGTCAGGTCAGGCCAATCGCAGACAAAATCAATCAAATGCTCCTGTAGTGTATGGCAGCCTTTAGTATGACAATCAGTATGACTTGATTGTTATTTGACCCTTCCAAATTTTCATATGTATAAGTTTATAAAATAGTATTTGGTTCTGTCTCACCTGCATGATACGCTATAGACCCCCTGCTCCAACCTGGATGTCTGTTTTTGGGATAGTCCTGAAAAACAAAACAAGAAACACCATAAAAACACTATATGCAAAACATCCATGGAGATCACTCACTGTTAAAGACATTTATCTCACAGAAGCTCCACATTTTTACATTATTTTGACCTTATTTTAATGCATGCTCTTGGTTTATATGATCATCTTTGTTTAATGTTGCACAATAATGACAAAGTCAGATCTTTGTGATTTTGTTCACTGACAATGGCAATAAAAGTGACTGTGATTCTAATGGTTAATACGAGTCGTGTCTTTAACATGAGGTGAGCACAGAGGGTTTAGTGAATACAGGGCCTTTGGGTGATGACAGTTTAAGTGCACCCAGATTAAGATAAGTCTGTTTCACACATGGACGAGTCTGTGCCCGAGGGAACACAGAACAATAGTGTCTTTATGGAGTTTGTTTGGCAGTTTGGAGAGAAAAAGAGACAGAGAGATAGACAGAGAGAGAAAGAGGGGATGACCTCCAGATGGATTCATAATGTTTAAAAGCACAGACACAGACATGAGAGAGTGACAGAGACAGAGTGACCCCAGGAGACGGCTTACACACACTAAAGTGTTTGTAGTCTGTGCTCAAAGCTGAACGTGGGTCCTCAGTGTCTTAACCTGCATGTAGAGGACACAGACTAGTTTTTCCCCCTTTGGCAGGGTTCATATAAAAGCTTAGAACCTCCAGAATTCCCTCCCTGAGCTGCAGAGGCTGCACTAACACTGATTCATGACTGGCTGTAGGTGCTGGGGTTTAGGGAGTGACCTTTCAGATCAGAGTGAGGCCTTTTAGGTTTAAAACAAATGGATTTCAGTATTGAAACTGGCAACCCAAATGAACAATTCATGTGAGGCTCATTCTGTTTTCTGATTAGATAATCAGAGTTACTGTTTTGGTTCCTCGAGATAACAAAGAACTAGGCCGTCTTGTCCAATATTTTTGTAATTAAGAATTAATCAACATTCCAACTAGCTGATGTTATCAGTATAAGTTATATTTGGTTGGAGCATGTTTACACATACAGGTCAGGTCGTGTTTGTGGAATTTAAAATCTAAATCTTGCATAGATTTCCTTGAATGTGTGAGAGCCACACAATGAGCCACACAATGAATCAACTTTATTGTCAATGAAATGCCGTTTTGTCGTCAGATAAAAACACTGCACTGAGGTGTAGTTCAGAGATTGTAAAATGGAATAGTCTGTTACACCTTTCACAGACAATGTCATTCTACAGTCTCTGTGTTAAACATCAGTTTATGTGTGTCTCACTGTCATTCATTGTTCAGTGTTGTGTTCAAGGCTCGTCCAGGTTTTGCTCAGACTGTGAGCAGACTGCTGCTCTACACTGTGGGCGTGTTTTTATATCCACCTTCATTAAATACACTGACCTATATTTAAGACATATTAAGAAGAACCAGGCTGACAGGAGCTATGTTCACACACACACCAAAATATGATTAGAATTTGATTTAATTTCTGGACCTTTACAATTATTTAAATGACATGCAAACCACAACATCTGATTTAAGGAGAGGGCATTATGCAAAATGGACTATTTTGAGCTACCATGTTATAATGTCATTCCCTCATCAAAACATGCCTGAAGAGATTTGAGATGTCATCCATCATGCATGTTTCACTCATTTAGAGATGTAATTGTGTATTGTAATTAGAATCACATTTAGAGAGCGCATGTAACCACAGCCATTTTGGAAGATGAACTTGGACTAGAAAAGTCCAGTGCCTCATTTAAAGACTATGTTCAACTATAGTAGAATATTTTCTTACTGAGTTTGTTTGTTGCTGATAAGCATGATTTATTCCACACTAAATGGTGCCAAGCCGAGAGCATGAAATACATGATTACTAGAGCCAATATACTGTCCTGAGGAAATGTTCTGTTTTTCTTTGACAGCTCAAGTCATAATTTATTGAGAACAGTTTCTGCCGAATTCATATTGTGTAAACATTGAAGTATCGTCATTCGCCGCAAAACCGTTATCTAAAATCTAAAATCTGTCTTCTCAAATTAAAATGACAAAACAATTTACGGATTACTGAACCAACCTCAAATTAGCATTACCAAATAGACGCCTTTAGTCCTGACTAAGAGTATATGACCCCTAAAACCAAACATGACCTGCTTTTCTGTCAGGGTGATGTTCTGGAAGCTATTTTTCAGCATTCATTTGAGCATCTCTTCTGTAAAAACTCTCTAGACAGAAGTCTAGAAGTCTCGAGATAGTGCACACATGCTGAAAATTACCTTGTGAGATTTTTCCCCCCATGTTTTTACAAATGGATTGGAGAAAAAATTTAGCAAAGTACTGAAGAGTTACAGTTTTTGAGAAGCTGTAGTCCCAAAAGCTTAAAGTCTTACAATGGCAGCAGAAATATTACATAAAGTCAATCAAAAATTGTGAACTGGATTCTACTATTTATTTATAACAACAAATAATGTCAAAATCTCATCTTGTCTCTTTCTCACTGATCCAGTCTCGTGTCTCGTCTTGTGGAAATTGTATCTCATCCCACCCCTCATCAGAAAGTAGTGCTTCTTTTTATAAAATCACACTTGTAATTACATTGATCAGCTAACTGTATGAATGTTGTGAAGTTTGTTGGAAGTCCATGGACCAATTAGCGAGTCACAGAATGTGTTATCTTGCCATAAAATTACACACAAGACCATGCTTGTCTTTTGTGATTTAATACACGAATCCTAGTGTTCACTACATATGCAAATAACGGCATTAGGGCTACACTACTGGGAGATTTTTAAAACTCATTTTATGGCAAGATAACACGTACCCCCACTTGTTCATTGCTGTGAAGTTTGGTGGAAGTCCAAGGACCATTCATGTCTGACCAACGTAATTACAAGTGTGATTTTATAAGAAGAAACACGTACCAAAAAAGTTTTCAATCATTCAGACCAGGAGGTAGTTCATCGAGGGGCTGACCGGCCTGATCGACAGGCGGTCGCATGCAAGGCCCTGGAGGTGGCCCCCGCACATACATTCATGTACACATACACGCGCGTATGCACACACGCCCACACCCACGTAAACGCATACACACACACATATGCACACACATGCATATGCACACACGTACACGCACTTACACACGCACACACGCATATGCACACACGTACACACACGCACACACACGCATATGCACACACGTACACACACGCACACACACGCATATGCACACACACGCATATGCACACACGTACCTTTGTCCCTATCTGTATGTAATCCTCAATCGTAATGTCTGTCTTGTATCTTGTATGTTGTTTGGTTCCAATTTGTTGTAATCTATGTATTTTGCGAATAAAATAAATAGTTTTCAGTGAAGATATGAATCCGTGTGTCATTCTTTCATTCGTTTTCCAAAACTAAAAATAAGAAAAAAAAAAAAACTATTTTCTTCATTATTTGTCTCCAAAACCAAAATGAAAAAATGAATAACGATTTGTTTTTTCAGTTTTCAATTTTCTGTTTTTTCATTTTGGTTTTGGAGACAAATAATGTTTTTTTGTTTTCTTATTTTTGGTTTTATTTTGACAAAGGAATGAACGAATGATACACATATTGAGATGCTCAAATTGATGAGTACAAATAGTTATAGTTGGATAATAGCTTCAAGACACATATAAGACATAAAATCGTCTTTGTGAGATATGTCTGTAAAAAGCGCTATATGAATAAAAAGTTACTTACTTATTTACATATGTCAACACCACACCAGTACATCACATCAACAGTGCACAATCAAATCTTGTCGAAAATAAATACCTGCATTTATTTGAATATATTTAATTGGCTTTTCAACATAAGTACACACTGCATTAAGTAGTTTAGCTAGGGTGATTTTCAAAATAAAATACTGGGACATTCCTAGTTTGAGTTGGTTGGTAATAATAAAACTGTGAAAGGAGTGCACCATTAAGGAAAACTGTTACTCATTCGGCACTAATGTGAGTTAGTATAGTTACATTTTATTTGTGTTTTGGTTGTTTTTTAAGCAGCTTTTCTGTATTTACCTAAACAAATGGCAATTTATGCGTCTCTTTACTGTCGGCAGGGATCAGATTGGCCCAAAATAGAGACATCTGGGACATTTCTTGTGTAAAACTGGAACAAATCACTGGTCTTGCATAAATCTGCTGAGACAGAGGACACGGGACTAAAAACTGGGACTGTCCTGAGTAAATAGGGACGTCTGGTCACCCTAAGTTTAACATCACATTACAACATCATAATTGTACACACACACACTTGCTCATTGTGTTGTGATAGTGCTCTGAAGGAGTGACTTAGTGTGAGGAGCAAAACGAGGGGAGACTCACAGTGTTGAAAATGAAACAGAAACTCACAAAACATGTTAATATGTTGTTTTCGGTGCATACAGCATTTTCAAAACAATAAAAGTTAACATGGTGTTCTTTATGTGTTTTGTGTTAATAGAAGTCAAATAGCCCTTCTCCCATTGTCGTGTGTCACCTTGCGGGCGAGTCCCAGAGCGATGTAGCACTTCTCTCCGGGGTCGGTGATCTCCAGCTCGTAATAATGAAACCGCGTGTTGAGAGGACGCCGCGCCTGAGCCAGACCCACGTCCATGATGCTTTTCCCTCTGCCCACGTACTCCAGCATCTGCACAGCGAACGCGACGCTTCAGCAACACTCAAGGACTGTCATGTAATGAGAACTAGGCCTGTCACCATTATTACTATATCCACTTACAGTTCAGTATATGAAAGCTGAACAGTATATATTTGGGGTCAGTATTTATCACATGTACAAATTCTTTGCAATAGTAGGAGAGATTGTAGTCACGTTTATATGATGTGATAAGATTTGAGCTGTAGAGGGTTGAATAAATAAGGTCTATGTCTTCATTATTGCTTCATTCTGCTATTTATTTGTTGCAGCTCAGGCCTTTTAATGATGCTGTATATTAATATTCATTCTGTCAGTGGCATAAAGTAGTTTCCATGTTAGTGTTTGTTGCAATATTTTCCTTGCAGCAACATATTGTGCTCATTAAGGCTTAAGAAATCAATTTATTTGATCTTGTTAATGATAATCAGAAGATATTTAAACATTCCAACTGAAAATTTATTAGTTGAGACATAAGTATGAGTCTATCAGACACATTTAAAGACTGTAAAATTACAGGAGCGTGTACAGAAATGAGAGATGACTGAATTTGGATGTTGATAAAAATTTTAACAATTGTTCAAATGGTCAAAGATCAGCTCGGGTATTTCTACAGCCAATCTTCTGTCAGTAAAAGCATTCAGACTTTCTCAGTTTTGAGGAGCTGTATATTTCCTGAGGTGCTGTGTTTCTCACCGTTCCCAGCACTTTGACATCATGGAGCCGGGCCCAGTCTTCCTCATGACTGTCGACGATCATGAGCCCCTCGTCTTCCTCAGGACCCCACTCTGCGTTCAGGTCCAGCAGCACTTCCTCCCCCAGAGAGTGCATCCCCACAGCGGGGAACAGGGGGTCCGGAGGAGAGGGCACGTCCACACTGCCCACCTACACACACATGCATGCACACAAACATACACACAACATACAGTACTTAAAGTGACAGTACGGGATCTTTTGGGGATAGAAAGTCAGCTGCATGATTCCACAAAAATAAAAAGTTAAAACCAGACTTTGGAACATAGAGATAAACACGTTTTATACCACTGTATGGAAGATTAAGGAACAACATCTCCATGGAGGAGCTGGAGGAGACTCTCCTCCAGGTCAAATACCGGATTTTCCGCACTATAGGGCGCACTTAAAAGCCTTTAATATCATCAAAAAACGACTGCGCGCCTTATAATCCAGAGCGACTTATATATGAATTTACTGGGGTGTCTTAGTATGACTTTAGTAAAGTACAAAGCCACACCACTTGCAGCATTACAGCTCCTGTAGTCAGGAGCATCAGGAGTAATACATACTGTGATTCCTTTTAAGATCAAAATGCACCTGTCAAGAGACACACTCACAACACCCACTTTAAACTCAAGACTGTTATAAAGTGAAAGTGCGAGCTGCGTGGGAGCAGTAGATGAGAGAAGGAGAACACACATTCACCAAGACAGGGAGACAGCGCCGAGCGACTTACGCCACGATCTGCGAACGGATCGTGGACGTCTGGGCCAAGGATCAGTATCAACTGTGGTCCGAGCTCTCACCAAGACCGGAACTGAACTGCCAGGGAACAGTAACCACACTGACTCGGATAATGACGACAGGGATGCGGGCGTGTGGACGCCGTAATCACCCAGCTGTTTGAACAATTATGAGTTATTGTGAATACATGAAAAATTTAGTGTTTCAGACAGTATTTTTTTTACGCGTTACAATTGAACAAAGTTGAGAGTTATTGTGAACGCTTAACGTGACAAAATTTGACTGATTTATCTAACTGTTATGTTTCGCTTAATGCTCCTTATAGTCCGGTGTGGTTTATATGTGAAAAAAGTTTGAAAATAGACCATTCAATGACAGTGCTCCTTATAATCAGAGCCCCTATAGTGTGGAAAATACAGTAAATATGAATATAATTAGAGTCAGGTTTGTGGAGATGCAAGCCCCCTCACAGTAAGGACGCATGTTTTTTGTGTTTTTTGTTTATAAGTGCAATAAACAGATTACAGTTTTAACTGTCAGATTACAAAAAACTGTTTGTTCTACCATAGAATTCTAAATTGTCCAGCTCAGTTTTAAACTCGGGATTGTACAATGTTGTCATGTCCAATAATCTAAAAACGAATACATTCATCAAGCTAATTTCATAAATGTTTTTTATAAAAGAAATAAATAGTCTTGGACTCTGACCTCTTTCCCATTTTTGGTGAAAAACACGGTGATCTGGCCCTCTTCAGACTCAGGAGCGATACCACAGCCAATCCGGTCGCCACGGCAACACTTAGACCCAAACTGCTGCCCCACCGTGCTCCCATTGTACAGCCTATGAAGAGGTGGACACGTTTACTTCATTTAACACCAAATGTTCTGTTGTCATTTTATTCAGAGGCGAGTAGATGAGTCTATAGTCCTAGTTTACTCCTGGTTCAGTCCTGGTCCAGTCCTGGTTTAGCACTAGTACAGTCCTAGTTCACTCCTGGTTCACTCCTGGTTCAGTCCAGGTTCAGTCCAGGTTCAGTCCAGGTTCAGTCCTAGTTCACTCCTGGTTCACTCCTGGTTCAGTCCAGGTTCAGTCCAGGTTCAGTCCTGGTTCAGTCCTGGTTCAGTCCTGGTTCGGTCCAGGTTCGGTCCAGGTTCGGTCCAGGTTCAGTCCAGGTTCGGTCCTGGTTCAGTCCTGGTTCGGTCCAGGTTCGGTCCAGGTTCGGTCCAGGTTCGGTCCTGGTTCGGTCCTGGTTCACATACTTGCCGTCGTCGGCGTGTAGGGCCACAGAGTTTGGGAGCCAGCCGGGCTGATGGTCCAGTTTATAAGCCTGAGGCACCAGACCCACAGAGATCATCCCCCGCACCCCTGTGTCCACGATCGTCACCTGCAAAACAAAGACATTTGATAAGTTTCTATCTGGATCAAAAACCAATAAACCAAAACATATAACTAAATATAACAATAATGCATTTGTAAAAGGGCTGTAAGATTCATGAAAATCAAATCTAAATCACAATTTGAATGGATGCAATAAGTAATAGTAATTTCCTACACAAATAACAACATTTCCTGTATTATTCTGCATAAAAACTGCTAACCCTGTAGTTTAAATCTGCACAAACATGTTCTGAAATGTCATTGTTTTATTACTTTGTCTGTTCATCTTTTTAAATCCCAATATTGATCTAAAATATTCAAAAAAAACAACAACAAAAAAACGGAATATAGCAGAATAAAGATGACGCAAACATGCATGAATCACTGTAAATACAACTTCAATGGGTTAATGAGAGGGAAACAACTGATGCAAGTAGAAGCTCTGAAAGGTCACTTTTGCACAATAAGTCATGTTTAAGCAACAAACATATCCTGTCCATCTGAACTCTGACAATAAAATGTCATTGACCCACTACACGTCTTAAGAATGGACTGGAGAAGTAATGTATTGGTGGCAGGTCAGGCAAATTACACATAACATCACGGTATTAGTATTGTTAGTAGTATAGTTAGTATATTAGTATCGGTACCTGCTCAAATATCTATCCATTAGTATCTGATTTTTTCACTTTTTTAATTGAGTCTATATAAGCCTCCCCTTATAGTAGGCTTACTATAAGGAAGGCCTACTATAAGTTCCACGTGGGATGGTTTAGTCCTGGTTAAATCCTGGTTTAGATAAAAGTGAAAAAATGCATAGCACGCTCAGACGGCCAATGTCCAAAAGCGTTTTTTATTTTTTAAATAACGTTTCAGTGAAAAAAGCCTTCGTCAGATATTTTTCTTGCTTTGGACCACAGTACACCAGTAAATCCTGGTTTGGACCTAGTTTAGACCTGGTTTAAATCCTGGTTTTAGTCCTGGTATTAGTGCTGGTATTAGTCCTGGTTTAGTCCTGATTTTAGTTCTGATTTTAGTCCTGTTTAGTTATGGTTTTAGTCCTGGTTTTAGTCCTGGTTTTAGTCCTGGTTTTAGTCCTGGTTTTAGTCCTAGTTTTAGTCCTAGTTTAGTCCTGGTTTATTGCGGTTTAGTCCTGGTTTAGTCCTGGTTTATTCCGGTTTAGTCCTGGTTTAGTCCTGGTTTAGTGATGTGGTTCGCTCTGTGCACGGGAGGAGGCACAGTCCAAACGCCGTACACGAGGCAAAAAAGGTGACTCTCCAAACTATGTCTATGTTGTCAAAATGGCAACATAATCTTACAGTTAATACACACACAAACAATTACTGATATCAATCCTGCGGGCCATTATTTTTTCTTCACGTGCGTGTCGTGCCTCCCAGTGGCTCTTTGGCGCCCCCCAGGGGAGGCGGGTCATCTTCTTTAAACAACCCTACCCTATTTGTGAGTTCTGAGCAGGTTTTCAGGTGTTGTTGGGGGGATATTGTTCTTGAAACCTGGCAACCCTGAGCAGGACAAATAAAGCAAATGGTGCATTGTGTGGGTTCTGAGGGCGAGACTCATAGTTTCAGTGGAGAAGCATTGATCCTTGAACATCTCCACTGTTCTTCCTCTGAAATGGTTCCAGTGAGTCACACCAATAATGAATAGAGAGATTTATAAAGAGGGTCGTGGGTTTGAACAAGTTTAAACCTGAATTATTCTGAGGGAGTCACTGTCTACAGACTCAGTATCTTTAATCAAATCTAACGATGACTACAATAACTGGCACCTACATTATTTCCAGGGTCTGCACCTGACTGTCCCACCCACTTGGAAGACAGCTCTGGTTCCGGAAGTACATTTTCCATGACCTTTTCCCACAGGCTCTTCGGAAAAGTCAAATAAAGGCTAACTAATCCAAAAGAACATTTAAAACGTAAGACTCTGAGAAATGCTTTAACAACATTGCAGTTTATAACGTTTCAGAAAGGGCCTATATGATGCAAATTTCTGATTTACGTTATAATGTTGTTTCTTCATCACAAACAGACCTGGAGTTGTGTTTTGTTTCATTCACACACGTTTGAGTAAACCTTTATTGTTAGTCTGTTTACATCTTTAGAACTCAAAATGCTCTGTTTTACCTTGTGATGTCATGTAGTGGTAGTTTTGTTTTTTTTTACTTTTTCTTCAGCAGAGACTGGTAAATCCAGGGCTGAAAATATCCCTATTATTCTAGTGAAGGTGTATGGAGTTTAAAAACACAAAAATTGTGAAAGGCGAAGGCGATGGGCAGTACTGATACACAGGACTTTTTAAATTCATAACCAAGTTTGAGTGAGGGATTGGGATTTTGCTTTGATGGCGCTCCACATACAAAATGTTGGCTGCAAACTTGTGATGATTTCTTAGGCAGTCAAAGGTTTCCTTTTTCATCCTTTCTGTCTATCAATCCTGCCCATCACCTTCACCTTTCACGATTTTTCAATTCCGTAGGGCAGAGAAACAGTTTGAATGGAGGTTTGCAGTCACACACATCTGATTCCCTTTTGCAGTTATGGAGTTTGCAAACTTCCAAAGCCTGTTTTCTGCTGTTAGGATCCAACAACCACGCAATTACGATGTCCGAATCCCATAACTAAATATGACAATATCAGAAACAGAAACAAAAGCAATATGGTTCAAAAGACTTGTAAAGATCGACTTTGACAACAGACGCATCCCACTGGGAAATCAAACATGGCAATTTGATGCTCAGTTTTTCAGAGGATCCTTCCCAGTATGCATTGCGTGATGACCAGAAGTCAGAAATTAAGGATGCATGTATTCGTTCGTGTGATTTTAGTTCATAATTCAACCTCCAACAGTTCAAATCTGATACACTAATACAAAGAAAAAGTACCACGATAAATATACTGATCTCCAAAATGATTGTTCTATTCATAATTTATTGAATGTCAGAGTAATTATCATGGAAGATCTGTATTGATCCATGCTTACTTCAAAATAGCGATTCCTTTTCGACAAAGGTCTAGCAGCCACGAAACAGCCAACTTCATCTGCGTTCCCTTGATACCTACAAAGAACACAAAAACACAAGTACTACAGAGTAGTTTAAACACACAAAATAGTAATTGCTGTACAGATGACATATTGTGCTTGTGTTTGGTGTATACTTATAATCTCTGACACCTGTGGATCATTGTGTTAGAATTTGGACATTTTAATTTGTAATATTCATGAGAGCTGATGTAAACCGTAAACGTCATCACAACTAAGCGCCGTGAAGCGACGGAAAGTTGCACATCACACTAGCGAGCTGCAGATTTTTTTTCATTTGTACCAGATTAACCACAGATTAAGAAAAAAAAATTGCAAACCAACATAAGTACAGAGCAGTGGCCATGTATAGGTGGTACTGAAAACAAGGACTAATCTGCAAAATGATGTTTTGAAAATATAAATAATATAAAAAATTGCTCAAACACACAAGCACACAACTTCGAAAGGGTCAGTGAGAAGTGGAGAGCTTAGAGTTTAACCAATCAGTTTCATTTCTCTCCAGCAACTAGGTCAGGAATCAAAATAAAATAGACAGTTCACACAAACCCTGGAAGTACAAGTTTGGGCACTGGCCAATCAGCGAAGAGCCATAATTTCTGTGTTGGCAATGATTCCCGAGATCGAGGATTTAAAGACAAAATAAAGAGAATGTTTGGTGAATTTTATCAAGGGGAAGGACGTTATTGTCCTTCTTCCTATGGGATTTGGGAAAAGCTTAATATACCAGTTAGCTCCGTTAGCGGGGCATTACATACGTCACGACCAAATAGCGACTGGTTAAATCATAAAAAGTACACGCCTACTTTTGAGCGAACAAATTCTAACAGTGCAAGGTCAGACGGTTTCTACGAAGTGAAACGAAGTGAAACTGGCTGATGAATCAGGCTAATCATGGCCATCACAATATATCGAATCACAACTCTCTTTGCTTAAATGGTTATGGTGCGGCAATAGCTAAAAAAAAACAGACGGAACTACATAAACCATGATCCTTTGCTCCATTTCAGCACAGACAACATGGTGAAATATCTTAGTTCTTTAGTCATTTAGTCACAGGAAAAAGTAGTGTATTCACAGTTTTGTAAACCTCCACAAAATTTCACAATAAATATCGTACCGTGAGATGCATATTGGGAAAATATCATACCGAGAGATTTGGATATTCTTACATCCCTAGTTTACAACTAAAGTCACATAGCTCCGATATATCATATGGATATTGATTCTTTACAATGGTTTCTTCAGAGACTTTAAAGTGCACATGACAGGTTACACAACTCATTTTTACAAAAACATAGTTAAATAATTGAATTTAAGATTTTACTAAACATATCGCCTTGTACTGTTTAGTTTTTGAAGTGAAGTTTATAATGTACCTCCTGGTGTGACATGGGCAGCACATGCCACATACATAGAGGTTATTCCAAAACTGTTACCTAGCAACCACAACATTAACACAGGCCAAAACTGAAATTTAAATTACATAATAGTTATGATTAGACAAACACAAATACATGACAACACCTTTATTTTGTTCAATGGGGCTATAATCTACCACAAATATTCCTTCCTTGCACGTCAATAGTCTCTGCATTTTGGATGGAATTTTCCACGTTGATGACATAGATAGAGGTATTCTGTTTTAGAACCCAGCGCTACTTCCTGGATTTTGGGACTTTTCTTCTCAACTTCCTTTTTCCATAAACTGCTGCTTAACTGATGTAAAACTATGATAAATATTCACCACAGGTACTGTCCCTTCAAACCCAGAGGTTATTAGAAAAACATGAAAACCTCATATATATGAACAGAAAGAGATGGTTATTCATCTAAGAATGGAAAGCTTAAAATCATGGATAATAAAAATAAAATAGATTTAATTAATACTTATATTTGGAGTTTACATTTGTTTACAGTAGAAACTAGAACAAAAATGGCGTAAAGAGTGATGTTGAGTCCAATCATTTTCAACCAAGACGTAAAATTTGAAACTTAAAAACTGGCCAAACTGGGAAAACAAGTGTGAATGTTATTGCAAAAATCTTAAATATAAAGATCTTAAACGTTCAGTAGGTGTTCAGTGTGTGTACGGGGACTGGGGGTGTGCAAAAATACTGAATTATCGATATAACGTATCATTTAATGTGGTGACATAGTATCGATATCATGGGCTGCGGTATCGATATATCGCCAAGAGTATTTTTTGGTGTATTTCACTAAATGATTTTGTTACAGCGCCACAGTTTTGTTGCTTGTTCAGTGGAAGGAAACTCGTTTATGCAACACATTTGACATTTTCACTGTTTTGATGAATAAAATGTTTGTGTTTCATTTGAATTTTACACAAGAAGTGGTTTAACAAAGACTTTTAGTATCACAGCCATTACCCATTATTTTTTATTGAACTGTATCAAATCGATTTGAAACATATCGTATTGAATCGAAAGTGCACTGTGTATGGAAATATATCGTATTGTGGGCTGTGTATTGAGTAGGGATGGGCATGATTAGTCGATTAATCGATATCTGATCATTAAGAATTTCATCGATTACGTTAATTTTAAATCGACAAACCGAATGTGGGATGCTGTGCGTAGCGTGATCAAACGGGTCTGTACATGTAGCTCTCTGCACTCAGAAGGAGCAAGACACAAACAGTCGGTCAACCTGCAACGTGCCGAAGCGCAAATGCATATTTAACGATGACTTGTACAAGAAATTCCACGCTTTCTGTTCCGGTCGGGACAAGTGGGAGGCCATGTGCACAGTGTACAAAGCAGCACATATGTTTCGGTGTCCAGTGGGAAAAAGTTCACCAGGACTCCGAAAACATGAAAAAGCTGTGCCAGGTGAGAGTAGCGCAATGTCGATGAAGAGGCCCCACCTCCCACTCCCCGTACGGTGTCCTGGTTTTGACAAACGCAAATATGGTCACACTAACCTGTATTCCACTGAGTTGTGCCGCATCAGCGCACAAGAGCTGTTTTTTTCTTTGCTGAGTTTATGCAAATGAGCCATGCAGTTTAAGTTTCGTTTCTGTGAGATTTGCGCAAAGCTGCATTAAACACATTATAATGTCAAACGGGCTGATGTGGCTCTAGAGTGGTTACGGTTTATATGTCGTAAAGTTGAGTTTATTTATGCAGATTAGGAGTGCAGATAGTAATAATAATGATGATAATTTTCATATAAAAATGTTAATGATTAATTGATAATCGATTGTTAATTCTCTTGACGATCGATTAAGAAAATTTTATCAAATGCTCATCCCTAGTATCGAGGTATGTATTAGCACCTTCTTAATGATACTCAGCACTAACTGGGACAGGGCCCTAGTGTGTTTTAGTGCGTTTGTGCCTTTTACCTGATGATGTCCCCGTCCCTCCGCATGCGTTTGAGTCTCTCTCTGTAGCGCACGGCTCTCACTTCGCGGATCTCCCGGATTCGTCGCCTCCAGTTCAGAAAACGATAGTGAAGGTTTATGTCGTCCATCACTTTTACTCATCACAAACTGAAACAAAACACAAACAGTACATTGGGGATTAAGACATTTTGGTTTTGTTCGAAAGAAGACTCATCAAGGATACTAAGGAATAGACTCGATACCAATTCCGGTACCACAGTGATAATTAAAAAAACATGTGTATCTGTGTAATCCCTCAGTGGTCCATGTGTGTATACTAGTCTATGTGCTTTTATACTTGTTCTGATACAGCTCAAGATCATTTTAAAGACATTCAGGAAAGGTTCATTTTTTAGTATTGATACTTGCTCAAATGAGTATCTACTTTTGACACTCATTTGAGCACCTGATTTTCAGTGACAGCCCTATAAAATATTTTGTTTTAGTTTGAAATAATCCACAGGAGGTCAGGTAGAAGCATCCTGTAAGTAGAAAGTTGGTTCAGTTCCAGCTCTGACCAGTTAATACAATCTCTGTGTCACTGGACAAGGTACATTCACCTGGAGCCTCCTGCGTGTGTGTAAATGACTGCTCTGTCAAAGGTCTGTCAAAATAATGACTAAACTTGTAAGTCATAAAGCATCTCTTACCTTTATGTTTTATGTGGGTGGGATGAGACACAATTTCCACAAAATGAGACGAGACATGAGATTTAATCCACGAGAACGAGACAAGACACGATTTTGGAATTATTTATTATTAATAAATGAATACAAATTTTGGCCCCACCAGTGACTTATTTTATTGAATATTTTTGCAGTATTTAGTACAAGATAAAGGTTTAGTTTATCCCTTTTGAGGGTTAGTCCAATACACAGTGGGAGGAGCTTTGGGGTAGATGAAAATGGTAATTTTTCTAAGCACTCAAATGCAGAACAATACAGGATCACTCAAAAATACATTAATCAAACAAAATACAACTTTTAGTGCACTTATGACAAAGGAACACTGTTATAACATGTTTAAAAGTAGGGATGCACCAATAAATTACTGGTATTGGATATTAGCGCCGATATTGAAAGTTTTGGTGGATCGAAAATCGTTCCAAGACAACAGTTCAGCCGATATCCCATTTTTATCTAAAAATCTATGGAATAAGACCATTTACTGGACCATGTTGACCCAATATGTCTCATAACACTGAACATGTATTTTTGTATTGCTGTTCTGTAGTTCTCAAGATGTGATTAAAATCCCTCAGTCGTCCAGATAGAATCCAGAGCAAAGGAGAAATTCAATTTATCAAATGGACAAAAGTTTATTTTGGTCGAATACGTTTTGCAGCTCATCCAAGCTGCTTCTTCAGTTCTGTAGTTACATTAAATGATGATAAATAACAGTTACACAACACATTTGGATCATTGTTGACCATATGTTTGTTTGTGTTAAAGGAAATAAATATTTCCTGTCTCTGCTCTAGTAGCGGTTGATACTAGTATCAGATATCAGCATATCAGATATCAGCAAATCAGATATCAGTAGTATCAGATATCAGCAGATACTTAAAGTCTTGACATCAGTATCAGAACAGAAAAAGCTGGATTGGTGCGTCCTTATTTAAAAGCTCATAGAAGTAAATTTTACGCAGTATATCCTTTTTAAAGTGCATATGACAGGCTAGTTACACTACTCATAAAGTTTCTTTATACAGTCTAAAAACAGAGTGAGCATAACATGTGATATAGTATAAATATAAACTTCATTTGGTTCCTCTTAGTAGATTATTTCTATTATTATAGTGAGAACTAGATCGGGGTAAACCTCAACCTACATTCTTTCTCTTCCTGAAACTTAATAGTTCCTCTGATTTAAGTCAGAGCCCTGTACTTTCTGTACCTACTTCTTCATTATTAAACTAATGTAACACAGTATGTGTACAAGTTTATGTGAATCTTTATGGAGCACATATGCAGTAGTGTTTCAAATACTAGAAACCAGATCTACCATACCTATGTTATGATTCATACGCAGCGAGAAACGTAGGCTACACTGCTCTGCTTAAGTTAAGATCATAAAATAAAAACTTACACGCCTTATTACGATATAATAACGTATTTTAGTGATGTCTGAGCTCCAAAGTTCATAAATGTACATGTGTATGTGAAAGACGCAGACCAGTGGGAACTCCACTACACGCTATGGCCCGGTGTACTGTAGCTTCTTTTAGCCTCTCCATTGTAACGTTTAACCAGGTTTGATTCACTTTTTAAAGCCGGATATAGCTGAAACAAACCGTAATATTTGAAAACATATATATCGTGTTGAAATCTTACTTTGAAAACGCGGACTTGAGGCGTTTTTGTTGAAGATTTGACGGAGAGAAGTCACTTTGTGCTCCGAACCTGCGCTGTCGGAAGTCCCGCCCCCTCAGACCATCTCAGCCAATCAGAGCGAAGAATCACAGCAGCTGTTTTTAACCTGTTTTTTGCCACATTTCTTTTATTTACAATATCTTTTATTATTTTATATTTATGAACACAATCAGGAAAAGCAAGTCTGTCAGATATTAGAGTATAGGTCTTTTGCTTATTCAGTTAATGCCAAATAAATGTAGGGCTGTTTTGTGTTTAAATATCAAATATTCAGATGTGGGTATAGATCAGTGGTGGAAGAAATACTCACTTTTGCTATTTAAGTAAAAGCACAGAAAATATAGCAAAATAATACTCAAGTAAAAGTATCACATGAAATCTACTTAAGTAAAAACATTAAATTATCTGTTTAAAAATGTGCTTAAAGAGTAAAAAGTTTGCATTTCTGTGTTTTTGTTCATTTGTTTGCTCAGTGTTAAAAATAAACCCTCAGCCCTTTCAGCAGCTCTCAAACTATAATTTTAAAAAAACAAAACTACTTTTCAGCCCAGTTCAGAAATGTAGTGGAGTAGAAAGTACAGATACAGCAAAAAGTAAATACTTGATTAACCGAAGTAAAATACAGAATACCTGAAATCTATACTTAAGTACAGTACTTTACTACATTATAGATCCATGGTAGTTACATTTATTTGAGTAACTTTCAAAAGAATTTGTACTTTTGAGGTATATTTTTACTGAAGCAACAGTAGTACTCTTACTTTGTCTCATTTTTGCTTTTATCCTTCAAAATACCAAATATCAATAGAGCATTTGTTCACTGATCTGAAGGTTGGTGGTTCAAATCCCACTCTCGACTGGTAGAGCGGTCAGATCCACTGACCACCATCACAGGTTGCTGTCGTTGTGTCTTTGGGCAATACACTTAGCCCACTTTGTCCCCAGTGTCTGTGTACACTGGTGTGTGAATGGGTGAGTGGTTCCTTGTTGTAAAGAGCTTTGAGCCTTGAAGGTGGAAAAGTGCTGAATAAAAATATAAAATGCAATGATATGCACTTAATCCTTTTTGCTCGTATTCTTTGCTTGGAAAAACTTAGCCTTTAAAGTTTTATCTTTGAATTAATGACTCATTAGAACTGTTCTCACCATGGCCCATATCCTCCTGGGATACGAAGAAAAAAAGTGTATTGCAATATATTTTTTTTGTGATTTTCTATGTATTTGGAGATAAATGAACACCTTTACATTTAGATTTTTTGTTCATTTTATTTTTCATCATCATCTTTATTCTGGACTCATGGTTTTTAAAACAGATAAGCACAGTGACATTACAAAACAATAAACATTTAGGTTTTTAAAAGACAATCACACCAGTGTCTCCACATATTGGACTTATATTGTGTTGCATCTCATATTTGTGAGTGACAGTATTATTTCATTGTCTGATTTGTTCAGTCTGCCGATAAAACTGTACATTAAAGTTCTTAGTGCTGCTTGCAGAGTGTTCACTTGTGCAGTAACAAACATCTCAGTCACACTCGTCCATCGTGGTCTCCTCAAAACACCCGTAAAGCATCATTGTAGGCACCTGCAGTCTTTGCAAACTGGCTTTTTTATATTTAATCCAGAGATGAGTTGTGTACAATGATGTACAATATGATTTAAACAATAACAACTTTACATCATTTGTACAAGAAACAAACAACTTATTTTTATTTATAATTTTGTAACATGTCCTCTATAAATGGACATCAGGGACATTTTGGTATTTGTTAAATCTATGTGAAGTTGACACCCTAACAAAAACAACTTTTGCCACATAAAGTTTTTAGACTCAATTTTAATTTTCTTTTTTTTTTTTTTTTGCAGCCACAAATTAAGTCCTAATAAGTTAATATTGTATCCTGGACATGATGGTACCTTATAATCCCCCAATTAGGCAGAGGAACCTAGTCTCTTTATTAATAGTCTGTCAGTAGACTGGTTAACTCAGTGTCCACTAGAAAGGACACAAATGAATGGGTCAGGTCTCAGGAGGATATTACGCCATTTTCTGATAAAGTAGTTTCCTCATCACAAACATACCTGGAGTTGTAATGAAAATGGCGATACCGGAGTGCTGCACTGGATCAAAACATACAAACGCAGGTGCTCATCAGACCAGAGGGCTTGAATTCTTGTAGAGAAGAAAGAAGATGGCAGAAGCACTCATAAGTACTCATACTCATAAGTACAGGGTATCCCCAGGTTTGACTACTTCAAATTTAAGACTTTTTAAAGACCTTTTTAAGTCCATTTAAATGAAAATTAAGACCAACACCACACCCATTATGTGGGCAAAAGCCCCAGATCCAATTCTAATAATGACCATTACTCACTGCTTTAAATACTTTTATTATAAAATCTCATTTAGAACTCATTAATAGTAATATGCATTGCTTGTAAATGGCCCAAAAATCATTTATAACATTCTAACAAGACACACTAAATGTTCATTCATGTTACGTGATTTCAGGTTGTTGTTTTTATTTTTTTCGTCCCTCCGTTTAACATCGCACTGCAGCCTAGTTGACTATACAAAAAAATAGGCTAATGAAATTTAAGAACTTTGTGAAAAAAATAAAACTTGGACAATATAATTTATGACTTTTTAAGGCCTTAATTTAGGAACATCACTTTTTAAGACTTTTAAGACCCCACAGCTACCCTGTAAGTAGTCAATACCTAGAGTTGTTCTTTGTTTCATTCACACATTTAACACACAAAAAGATTATTTAGGCTATACAGTTCTTCTCTCAAAAAATAAATAAATAAACTCCCTACACCTTCACTGGAATTATTTGGATGATTTCAGACCTGGAATTGCCAATCTCTACTGAACTAAAAAGTAGATGAAAATAATAACTTGAAAATTACCCGTTTCATGACAGCACAAGGTGGAACAGAGCGTTTTGAGCTTTGGAGACGTCTACAGACTCATAATAAAAAGTTACTGTGTGTGAATGAAACAAAACACAACTCCAAGTACAATCTGAGGAAGTAACAACACAATAACACAAGAACACAAGAGTCAGTTTAGAGTAACATCTATTCTGTTCTATTACTGTAGGTTTGGAGCTCTAGTCCGTTCATATTGTTGTGTCCTTGGCAGTGTTGGGGAGTAACAGATTACATGTACCGCCGTTACGTAATCAGAGTACAAATTATGAGTAACTGTATTCCGTTACAGTTACTGTTTCAATGAGTGGTAATTGGATTACAGTTACTTTGCTGAAATAAGTGGATTACAAGGCGGTATTTTCCTGTTTTCACATTTTGTGCTACATCCCATTTATTTATTTATTTTTTTTATTTCGGTAATTTCACTCATTGCCGGAAACCCAAACAGAACGCGACAGTAAGACCGATGTAAACGTCATGTTAAAGTTGGCGGTGTCAGTCACACAGTGGAAGCAGCAGTGCATTGGTAAAAACGCATTTGTGTCTTGGAAATTTTTCTCCCGATGTGAGATATATTATATAAAAAAAACAAATATAAAATCGCCTACAACTTAAATGTGAAACCGGAGCTACTGGCACTGGTGAAAACAACCTGCATAGACTCATAATATCTGCACTACTGTCCTATAATGACCTGCGACATGAGGAGACGCGCACACAAACACACACAAACACAAACACACACACACAAACACACACCTTCATCATCGTCATCAACCTGACAACCCGCGGACCACGTCTCCTTCCGTAGTTACAGCGCGGACACCGCCGTCTCGTGCGCCGCGTGTGGAACGTGTTTTCTCGCGTAAACCGCGCTTCCTCCTGTGCGCCTCTAAACCAGAACTAACACCAGGACTAAACCAGGACTAATCCAGGACTAAACCAGGACTAAAGCAGGACTGAACCAGGTTTAAACTAGGACTAAACCACGACTAAACCAGAACTAAAGACCTGATTTTAGACCTGGTCTAAACCAGGTCTAAAAATCAGGACTAAACCAGGACTAAACCAGGTCTAAACAACATGACACCTAACAGTAGGTTGACATAATTTAAGGTGATCTCATATAAAAAATAATTTCTCTATCAATAATATTTTTTAATATTAAGGAAAGGCTGATCTTGTTATTGTCTTTTAACAGACAAAACCTCTTATATTAAGATGTCGTGGTCTTTGTTTCTCTACAGCAAACAGTTGCTTATTCATGGAGACTTGGGCTCAGACAATTTGAAGACAACAAACAAGAATTTTCAGGATGTGGTTGCTACATTCATGTCGTTTAAAAAAACATGACAATATCAAGTAATCCAAAGTAATCAGATTACGTTACTCACTTTAAGTAATTTAATGGATTACGTTACAAACTACATTTTGGGGTGTGTAATCTGTAATCTGTAGGGGATTACATTTTAAAAGTAACCTTCCCAACACTGGTCCTTGGGCAAAGCACTTCTCACATCTTTGTGTAAGTGTGAAACAGCACTGAGAGTCCTGAAAGTGTGAGTGTACGCAACTAAAAGTACAATTTCGTGGCTAAAAGTTTACTCCATAACAAGTACAGAAAATGATGCTGATGTAATTATGTTTAAAGCCAGAGTATGGAACTTTTTAGTACAATACAGGTTTATTCAAATGCATGAAATTGAAATTAATGATGAGGGAACAATGTAAAAGTTGATTCAAAGTGTGTGGCGGGTTAGACAGCTCATTTTATTCCATTACCAAATTTTTCCAAGTTTGACTCTTTTGGTGAAGTATAGTTTTTCTTCCAGACGTGACCCACGCAGGGTAACTCCATAACCGTTACCAAGCAACCATAACGATCACAAGGTACAAAACGTGACTAAATTGCACAATGGTTATGACTAATAAAATAAATGACAACACCTTTATGGCTTCCTTGTGCGTAAATTGTCCCTGCAGTTTCAGTTTTGTGTGTTGACATACAGTAGGTGGGGAAGCCCTTTTTGGGAACTCACTGCTACTTCCTGTCATTTTCAAACTTTACTTCACAAACTGACACTTAATTCCTGTAAAACTATGATAAATATTAACCCAA